TTAAAGAGCCAGAAGACGCGAACTCCTGCACGCAGTGAGAAGATATCTGTGTGCGCTCATCCGAAGCGCGTGAACCCAAGTCTCAGAACGCGCGCAAATATTAAAGGAGTCATATGATGCCATTTCAATTTTTCCTTTCTCTTTGGAGTGTTGCAAGCTCTTGGTGCATAAAGAATATCTGTAAAGTTGCAAAGACTAAAGTCTCAAATCCAAAGAGATATTCTTTATAAAAGTTAGGAATCAGCCACACCTACCTAAAAAGGCTTGTTCTAACACGCCCCCACATATCTACATCACTATGTGGGAAGATTTACATAACGCCGCCCAAATGTTCACGCAAAGAAAGAAGGCGCAACTTTTATTTTGGCTGTAGTATTGTTGCTGCCGCCATGTTGTGAATGCGCTGTGTGCTTCGTTGTGAAAGCGAAACTACTTTGTTTGGTCTTCCAAAAGAGGACGCTCACTCAGCCCGCCGGCCTTTCCTCACTTTATCCCCCGGCCTCTGCTCACTCAGCCCACCGGCTGTTCCTCACTTTATCCCCCAGCCTCTGCTCACTCAGCCCGCCGGCTGTTCCTCACTTTATCCCCCAGCCTCTGCTCACTCAAGGCCGTCGTGTGTGACGCTGTGTTTCGTTGTGAAAGCAAAACTACTTAGTTTGGCCTTTCTGAACGTACAGTATCAGTGCACTGGATCAGTGTGTTCTCTTAAAGTACTTTCTTAATGCTAATCAAACAGCAACAACACGGAAATCTCTCACTGCTCTTGACTGAATAACTTTTGTAACTTTAATAAGGATTAATCTTTCATTTATACAGTCAAATATGCAATGTTATTTTACATTTGATTTATTCAATTTCTGTACCTAAAAACTATGTTAGACCTACCTAAAAAAACAGAAAAGCACTGTTTATTTTATTTGTATCTTTTTCACTGTTTATTTATTTGTGTAGTTAGATTATTTGTTCTTATTTTCTTTCTTTTTATTTGACAATATAGTTTTTTCCCTAACCATAGCACATACCGAACCGTACCGAAACCGGGACTCTAAAACCGTGATACAAACCGAACCGGGAGTAAATTGAACCGTTGCACCCCTACTTGAGATCACTGACGGTTCAAACTTATTTCAAAATTAAAAACTAGAGGTAGAACTGAAGATATAAGGAACTAGTTTCTGTCACACTCTGCATTCACTTCGAAATGAGTAGTAAGTCTCTCACCATCTTTCCCTTTCAGAACTTTTCCACGGCTGCGCATTTGCTTGGCGGCCTCTTCAGTGAGGTTCCCAAACACCACGGACACATTCACACCCGCTTTCTCGTAAACCTTCCCATCTTGCATCACACAGCTGATGCCACCACCACCTTTATTAGACACAAGAAACATTCAATCGGTTTTGTTACAGTGTAACACCAGCACGAATCTTCTAGCTGATATTTAATGTATGAATGTTTCTGTTTTATAGGATAACAAAGCAAAATCGAAATCTTTCCAATGCTCTGTTGGGAATCACTGATCTATGGAACAATTAACTTTTTCATATAGCAAATTGTTATAATATATAATTAAGCACACATTTTTGGAACAATGATAGCTAAATAATCTTTAGAATGCAACATTAAAAAGATGCATTTCAAATATTTTTTTGATGATTAATAATAATCATACTTTGAGTCAATAAATCAATTAAAACAAAATGGAATGTTTTAAAATGTAAAAGAAGATTTTGCCATTTAAACTTGACACTTCACCAATTACATCATGGTTTTAAAAGGAACATTTGGAAAGGCTTTCCGACTTTGATGTTTGGATGATAAAATAACTTTGTAAAATTCATACACTAGATGGTAGAGTACACAGTGTATAGTGTCATCTGGGACAACTTAAACTCCATAATTATGAAATAAAAAGTAGAAATTATGACATAAAACGTTCACATTATGACAAAAATGATGACGAAAGAAAGCCTAAATAATGAGACAAAAAGTCAAAATTACAACAAAAACCATTATGACAAAGATTTTAAATTACGAGACAAACAGCCATAATTATTACACAGGAAGTCACAGATATGATAAAAAGTCGAAATTATAGAATATAGTCAAAATTATGAGATATAAAGTCAAAGTTACAACACACAAAGTTATAATTTAACCAAAAAATTTATTTTTATTTCATAAAACTTTTTAATATCATAAATGACTTTTTATTTATTTCATCATTTCCACTTTTGCAGTATGTTATGTTTACCAAAACATGATTTTTTTTCTTATGTGGTGGAAATGGGCTCCCACATACCTGTAGATCCAAACATAAATTAGGACTTTGGACCACCATGTGTGCCACCAGTTGTTATGGTAATTATATTTTATACGTTTTTTTATAAGTTTCATTCATACCATCACTGAATAGGTTTTAAAATGAAAAACACATTCAGTGAATTCAATTAATTATAACTTCATAAAGTTAAACGTTACATTAGAAAAGTAAGGCAGCAGAAATGAGCTAACCTTCCTTTCTACTCCATCTGTCCACCTTGAACGCGCCTCCATCCACCTCCTCAAGGGCTTTACAGAATGCAGCCTGTGTCTCCATGATGAGCATCTCCATTCTCGCAGACATCGCGTCTTTCCTCTGCTCCAAGACCCTGATGTCAGTGACTGGTAGAGACATGAACGACTTGCATCTCTCCCGTATGTCCCCCTCTTCTTCTTCAACCGTGGATACCTTCGTTGCCATTTCGGCCCGCTGAAAGTGACTTACACCTGCCGTCAGAACACCAGTGACAGCTGCTGCCCCAGCAGCCAGAAATACACCTTTACCGTACCGTCCGAGTGAGATCCTCCCCGGCGATGCATGAGACATCCGTCTCGTTCCTGCTCTTATGAATGACCATTTTCCTCCCGGAAGAAAGGCACGTTTACGGAGGGTAGAGTAAGAGTGGAAATCAGCTGTGCCATGCGCAGCGCGGGACACTTGGCACAGTCTTGCTATTGGTCTCGCTGTGTTGTTTATTGTGCACAAAGCTATAGAAGTCATTTTGTCTACTGAGCGACAATAACTGTATCGGTCCACGACCTGCCAATTGATAAGATGATCATAAATAGGTGTAAAGTTACTGTAAGCAGTTTTGTACGTAGTTCCTCCAACAGTTCTGCCCGCGGAGGCGTGTCTTGACTTTTCGAGGTGTATTGTGGGAAATTGCGTTTTTTTCTTATGAACTGTGCTTTATTTAATCTAGTACGGACTACATATACCATTAACGTGAAAGTATAAACTAATCGTAATATGTACTTCCGAGCTAATAAAAATTAGGGATGGGCGATACCCCTTATTTTGTTTTCGATACGATACCGATATTTTTCAAGGCAGTATCGTCGATATCGATACCGATTCGATACTTTTGCACTAAACTTTTAAATTATGAAATTTATGAAATTATTAAATTACTAAGAGTAAAATGGGTAATGAAAACCACTTAACTTTGTTTAAAACGCATTTTAACCCATTTAATTCCAGATTTTTCCCAGACATGAAAATATCCAAATGATGTACCCCTTTGAAATAATCAATCATTTAAAAAAAAAAAAAAAGTTTGGGAAAAGTGAGTGAAAATTTTTCTTTTATGGTCGGTCACAATTGTAACCTGTGGGATTATGTGTATATTGAATTAACATATTTCTGCAGTCTTAAAAATTGTTATATATCTTAGCCCAGCTATTTTAAACTGTTTGATCACATTCTAGGGTTACTATTATGCATAAAAAAAACTTATACAACACTAATAGGAATACTGAGATCAAATACAAAAAAATACAACCATCAACGTATTTCAAAATTGTTACTTTTTTTGTAACATATATCATCACATTTTTATATTAGTGCTACCAGTATTACAACATTAATATTCGAACTTATTTGTAACATTTTAACTTTTGATTTAGTGCAATATTTTGTACTGCCATTAGGGACTGCCAGTGAATGGCTGTTGCATGCATAAAATGCAACCTTTAAATGAATTATCTTTCAACGTTCAATTTAAATAATTGAAATTGTAGCCTACATAGTTTGTGCAATTACAATTTGTTTATTGTGAAATAACTCTGTGAAATAAAACATTTCTGTCCTCTGATAAGCATTGTTCAGGGCTGCCGTTCCCAAAAGCTTTAATGCTTTCTTATGATACTTTTGGGAAACGCAGCCCTGTTTGAATGCACTGTCAGAAGTGAGTGAACGCTCTCTGTGATTGATTGGTTCTGTCTTGCAACATTTGCGTGTGTTCAGATGAACAGGAAAATAGTTCTATCCTACACAATTACTCGCTAACAAAGGTTATTTGTCCAATTCAATGATTATTGTACTCATTATTATTATTATTATTATTTTTGTTAAACAAAACCACTGGTAAATAAAATGCACCTTAGTATCGATAGTTTTTGTTTGAGTATCGATACTTTCGATACTCGCGTCAGTATCGATATATCGATACTTGGGATCGATACGCCCATCCCTAATAAAAATAAATCTTTTAATAATGTAGCGCCAGTGCCTTTAAGTTATTTTTCACTCGCTGTCCTGTTATAAATACCTTTTAAAATATTATTCATAGTATAATAATATTAATGCAGAATAATTGTTGCCTTTGTGCTAGTGTTGTGTTGACAGGATTTTTACAAGACAGTGAAATCTAGAAAAGGGTCAGGGTCAGAAAAACTTTTTTGGTATGGTTGTTAAAAATTACAATATTGCCAAAGCATACGTAAAAAGACAATGTAGAAAATAAATTAAGGAAATAAACTATAAACGATTTTGCCAAACAAACCAAAGTATCCTTTGTTGTACCCTTTTCCCCCGCTAACTGTATCTCAGATCAAATCTGGCTGGATCTTCCGTCTACATTTACACAGAGTCTGCGCATGTGCGCGCCCTCACTACAGGCCGTGTTGTGCGTCTCTATGGCAACACCTGTTACACGCTACTTTGAAGCTGAGGCCAGCAGAGGATTAGAGCGAGCTGCTCTCTAATGTACAGGTGCGCGTACAGACCAGATCTCTGGAACATATAGGCCGGCTAATGAATTATCATTCATTATTTCTGCACTTAACGTGAAGCAACACCAAACAGAAGTTCTGAAGGTAAGCTCCATACATTTTTAGGCGCGGAAAGTAATAAAACTGAATTCTAAAAGCAGACAATAGGTTAACTATCTAATGCAATGACAAGACCACCAGGTTTTGTGTTGTAATATTAGCCTTAATGCTCGTTAAATTGTTATTTTATCACGGAATTTCATATTATAATTATTTAGGCATTGCAGTGCATTTAGTGGAATGAACATATGTGTGTGGCATTTACAACATGAATATAAAGCTTCCCTTTAAATATATAAACTGCGTCTGCAAAGTCTGAGGTAAAAAAAATAATAATAAAGACGAATGAATAACAATTTAGAATCACAAATAAGATATTTCTTATTGGACAGCAATGGAGAATATTGTTAGTTTAATTGTCACTGTATGAGGACCAGTGTTACTTTAGTATAATTGAGATACTATTATAATTGTATTAATATTTTGAAATAGTTCTTATTTTTATTATATTTTGCGTTTTCATTTTAGTTGAAGGTTTGTAATTTTGTTGTGTTTTTAATTTTTTAAGTTAGTTTTTTTATTTCGTTTTAGTTCTTTTAAATACATGAAGTTAAATCAAGTTATTATATTTGAATGAACGATATATATATATATATATATATATATATATATATATATATATATATATATATATATATTTTTTTTTTTTTAGTTTTTTTTTTTTTTTATTTTTGCTGGGGGGTTCTGTGTTTTTTTTTTTTTTTTTTTTTTTTTTTTTTTTTTTTTATATATATATATATTTTTTTTTTTAAAGGTTTTAGTTACACACCTGTGTTTCACTTTCTGAAACTCTCTGACATCTAATTTATGTTTCCAAGTGTTTCGAATCTAAAGCCCTCATGCATTTGGGCTTTATTTATTACATAACCCTAGCTACATTCATGTCAACAAACCTACCAAGTGTGTGGTACATTTATGTGATATGTCACCTATATAATTGTAATTGTAATTTTATGAAACTAAATTAAAGTGAGAATTAAGAATGATCAATAAATTGGTCAATAAAATCTAACATGCATTAATAAATGGCCAAATAATTATTTCAAATAATTATACATATTTATAATCATTTCTTTACACCCAAAATCAGTTAACTTTGCTCAAAATAAAATGGTTCTATCACCTTTTTTGTTTGGAAACAGAAGGGAGACATTTTTTTCTGTGTGCTCCATTTTTCATTTGCTGTGTCTTAGGATCCTTCTATAGTGAGAAAGTGAAGAGACAATGAGTGATTCTGCAGTCCAGAACATTCCAGATGAATATGAGGATGACTTTGAGAAAGACCTGGACTGGCTTATCAGTGAGGAGAGCAAGTGTGAGGAACAGGTAAGTGAGTGAATGTGCAATGATGGCAGAAACCGGTTCATATCTCTGAGACTTCTGGTCTCTGAGAGTCTTCTGGTGTGTGGTATTCCATTACACAGACGCCGTACCTGTGTGTGTGAAATCTTCCCCACTGACACAGATCCATACACACTTTCACTTACCCAGAGAACTCTGTCTCATGGCACTGCATTATTCAACACATACGCTCTATGTATCTGATTCACCCTTTAGAAAACATGCTCTCCTTAAAGGGATAGTTCAACCAAAAGTGAAAATTCTGTCATTGTTTACTCGCCCTCAAGTTGTTTCAAACCTCTATGAGTTTCTTTCTTTTGCTGAATACTAAAGAAGATATTTTGAAGAATGTGGGTAACCAAACAGTCTCTGGTCCCCATTGAATTCCATAGTATTTTTTCCATATTATGTTAGTCAATGGGGACCAGCAACTGTTTGATTACCCACATTCTTCAAAATATATACTGTATATTTTTAAAGTTCAACAAAAGAAAAAAAAAAACTCACAGAGGTTTGGAACAACTTGAGGGTGAGTAAATGATGACAGAATTAAATTTTTGGGGTAAACTATCCCTTTAACTCACACAATGCCAAACTCTTTTTATTGTGGCTTTCTCAAACTGAACACATTATTTTCTCCAACAAAGGATCCTGATGACGATGACATTGAAGCTCAGATAGACAAAGAGCTTGAAGAAGATGTGCACAAACACAAGGAAATGGTTGATGAAGAAGCGGATGAAAGGTGGCCAACGCCCATGGAGCCATTAGAGGGTGCATTAGAGCCTGACAGGGATGGCCTTGTAACCTCTCCACATTTACAGAACGACGAAGACCTCGATGAAGAAAAGAAATATATTTTGGATAAGATTCAAGAGGGTAACAAACAACTCCAGGACCAGGATCCTCCAGACCAGAGCCGGCAGAGACGCCTGCAGTTTAAAGTCACTCTGGTTGACCTGGTGGTGCCTGAGCAAGAGTTTGACGCTCAAGAGAGCAAGGGAGCCTCCTATAGGGACGTAGAGGAAGAGCAAGAGGTATCTAGACAAATGCAGAGACTGAAGATCTCTCCAAGAGAGGAGAATGAGATTGGAGAGCCTGACGATGAACATAATGAGGGAGCAAAGGAAGGACTACTTTGTTTGGCCTTCCAAAAGAGGACGATATCCGCTTCGTCATGCCTGAAGCTGATCCGTGCTGGTCGCTGAGGAAATACAGCGACTTCGCTGGATCGCTGGATCGGCTTTCACCGTGGATGAAGCGGAGTCCTGCCCGGGGTCGTCACATGTCGTCACTCCTTCGTCGAATCCACCGGCCACCACTCACTCTAGCCCGCAGGCCTCCGCTCACTCAAGGCCGTCAGGTGTGACGCTGTGTTTCGTTGTGAAAGCGAAACTACTTTGTTTGGCCTTCCAAAAGAGGACACGACTAGAAATCAGTGGTTAAGCCAATCACAACGCACTGGATAGCTGGCCAATCAGAGCACACCTCGCTTTTCAGACTGAAGAGCTTTGTAAAAATCGACGCGTTTCAGAACGGCGGGGCATAGAGGAGAAACAATAATGTACAGTATGTGGAAAATGTGTTTTTTGAACCTTAAACCGCATTAAACACATTTCATTACACCAAATACACAAAATAATGTTCTTTTTAGCAACATCATATGACCCCTTTAAAGAGCAGGGTGATTGATGGCCAATGTAAAGATATACAATATCACAATATGACCCCTTTAATTTCATGTCCTCCTTTCTGCTTCTTCTGGTTCCTTTTCAGGATGAGCTGAAGACAAAAGAGGAAGAGGAACAGAAGCGTCAGGAGAATGAGATAGCCTTCCGATCGTGGCTTATGAGGAAGAGAGAGCAGCTGCTGGAAGAGAAGAGAATTCAGAATGCCCAGGAAATGGAAAGGATTAGCTGCATGGTATGTCCACCAGGGGGAGCCGTTTAACCAGAAATTGTGATGCCAGGACCCCCTCTGCATAAAACATAAAGGCAATATATATATTATTATTTTTTAAAATAATTATTAAATATATTTCATTATTATGGAGGCAAAATTGCCATTGAAATAATTACCTTCTATACTGTAATTATGTCATTATAAAATCTAATTTTATATTTTTATTATAATATTTTTATATTTTCATTATTTGATTAAAAATAAAGTTCAATACTAATATTGTGAAATATTATTACAGTTTAAATTACAGTTTTCTGTTTTTAAATTTTAATTTATTCCTGTGATGGCAAAGCTGAATTTTCAGCAGCCATTACTCCAGACTTCAATGTCACATTTCTTGTTATTAAATAATTATTAAATATATTTCATTATTATGGAGGCAAAATTTCCATTGAAATAATTACCTTCTATACTGTAATTATGTCATTATAAAATATAATTTTATATTTTTATTATAATATTTTTATATTTTCATTATTTGATTAAAAATAAAGTTCAATACTAATATTGTGAAATATTATTACAGTTTAAATTACAGTTTTCTGTTTTTAAATTTTAATTTATTCCTGTGATGGCAAAGCTGAATTTTCAGCAGCCATTACTCCAGACTTCAATGTCACATTTCTTGTTATTATAATAATAATATTCCTTATTATTATCAGTGTTGAAAACATTGTGCCCCTAAATAGTTTGTGAAACACATAGAGTGTAAGTCTGTGGGAAATACTGGAATATATATCCTCCTGACTACCAGGAAAAAACTGTTTTGTGAATTTAGTATTTTGTCATGTCATTACATTGTTTAGAGCATAAGAACCATGTTGAAAAATATGTCCTCAGCAGAGGACATCGGGACTTTACAAAGTCCTGTTTAAAAAAAAAATAAAAAGACATGAATAGACATGAAAAGGCAAAAACAGTGGGATTTTTGTTTTAATCAGGAATCAATTTTCATTTTTTTTATACCAAACTTTATATAAAGGGGAGCCGTTTAACCAGAAATTGTGATGCCAGGACCCCCTCTGCATAAAACATAAAGGCAATATATATATTATTATTTTTTAAAATAATTATTAAATATATTTCATTATTATGGAGGCAAAATTGCCATTGAAATAATTACCTTCTATACTGTAATTATGTCATTATAAAATCTAATTTTATATTTTTATTATAATATTTTTATATTTTCATTATTTGATTAAAAATAAAGTTCAATACTAATATTGTGAAATATTATTACAGTTTAAATTACAGTTTTCTGTTTTTAAATTTTAATTTATTCCTGTGATGGCAAAGCTGAATTTTCAGCAGCCATTACTCCAGACTTCAATGTCACATTTCTTGTTATTATAATAATAATATTCCTTATTATTATCAGTGTTGAAAACATTGTGCCCCTAAATAGTTTGTGAAACACATAGAGTGTAAGTCTGTGGGAAATACTGGAATATATATCCTCCTGACTACCAGGAAAAAACTGTTTTGTGAATTTAGTATTTTGTCATGTCATTACATTGTTTAGAGCATAAGAACCATTTTGAAAAATATGTCCTCAGCAGAGGACATCGGGACTTTACAAAGTCCTGTTTAAAAAAAAAATAAAAAGACATGAATAGACATGAAAAGGCAAAAACAGTGGGATTTTTGTTTTAATCAGGAATCAATTTTCATTTTTTTTATACCAAACTTTATATAAAGATGATTCTCAACTATGTTATGAATCAGTGTTGAAAACATTGTGCCCCTAAATAGTTTGTGAAACACATAGAGTGTAAGTCTGTGGGAAATACTGGAATATATATCCTCCTGACTACCAGGAAAAAACTGTTTTGTGAATTTAGTATTTTGTCATGTCATTACATTGTTTAGAGCATAAGAACCATTTTGAAAAATATGTCCTCAGCAGAGGACATCGGGACTTTACAAAGTCCTGTTTAAAAAAAAAATAAAAAGACATGAATAGACATGAAAAGGCAAAAACAGTGGGATTTTTGTTTTAATCAGGAATCAATTTTCATTTTTTTTATACCAAACTTTATATAAAGTTGATTCTCAACTATGTTATGAAAGATATTTAAAAAAAACTATTTTTCTTAATGCAAACTGTGTGTAAAATGGCCATAAACGAGTTTTTCATTTAGTATCTCTGAAAAGCCCTGAATGTGCTCTGTACAGGACATCCAGATTTAAAACTGTGACATGTAAGGTCTCAGAGAAATCGCTAAAACATAATGTCCTCTACAGTGGACAAAACTCCGTAGCTGGTAGTCAGGAGGATATATATATATATATGTGTGTGTGTGTGTGTGTGTGTGTGATTTATTATTGACTTAATGGAATTAATTGGTTTTGTCGTTCTGCCAGAGGGACTGTGGTGACCCAGAGGAGGCCTTTAAAAACTGGCTCCAAAAGAAACAGGAACAGCAGTTCAAAGACAAGCAGATAGAGGAGATGAAGAGACTGGAAAAGGAGAGCGGCTTTTGCCTGCACAGCCGAGAGGAGCGTGAGAAGGCCTTCAGACAGTGAGTTCAGCACCATATATGATTCTTCTAAAATCAGGAAACAGATGGAGAATTGTATTTAAAACCAATGTGAAAGCATTTCCCTCTTGCTCTGTTGTACAATAGGTGGCTGAAACGAAAGCGTACAGAGAAAAGAGCAGAACAGCAGGCAGCTCGAGAGTGCTCACGTAGACTCATGCTGGAAGAGCGCAGAGCAAGACGCATGCATGACCTCCACTGCACTGTCAATGAGATCAAACCCTTCCGATTCAGTGACCCCTATGGATACCGCTACTGATCACCTCATAATGTACACGTGACCATTGTTAAAACCAGGGTCTGAAGTTCCTCCAATTCTGCAATCACAGTGCTTACTGCTTCAAGAGTCATCCATTCATCTGTATCTATGGTTACTGTTCTATTGAACTTCTTAAAGTTCTGTTGTCTCATCTCCATGATACAGTGGATGAAAGAACATGTGGTTAGGAACACAAACAGGAGCTCTCTTTTATTAATTTTCCATTTGTCCTTTTTCAAAGTACAGAGATCAAACAGGTGCTTGAGTGGATATCCCTGTTCCTACAGCTTTAGGCACTTAAAATAATTGCTACTCCATGATGATTTAATGTTTTGCGTAACTGCTGAATCACCAGATATTCTCATTTTTTGTTTAGCTGGCTATCCTGTAGATTTGCCACGTGTCCACTGCGGGCACTAGTGTGCTACACAGCTATTGCAGTCTGCAGCAGGAACAATTTTAAAGCAGCAGTTCAGGCCCAAAGCTTCAGATCAATGATCTGTATGTGGGCAGTTGACATAAAATGCTTTGGAAAAGGTTTATACTTCAGCTAAAAATATTTTAAATGGCAGTTCTTTTATCATTATTTTTGCATGCATCTTTATGACCTTATATTAACTTAGAAACCATATGGAATATATGTACTTTTAAAATATTTTAATAATTGCAGGATCATTAAAATAAAATCTAGGGATGGTACAAGTGCGTTTAAAATAATGAAAAGTAAAAAAAAATATATATATATATATATATATATATATATATATATACACTTTGCCTTATACATTCATTCAAATTTAACCATAATCTGAATGTTAATGTGTTAATGTGGAGGATAATTAAAAAAAAAACTAGGGATGGGACAAATGCGTTTAAAATAAAAAAAAAAAAAAAAAAAAAAAAAATATATATATATATATATATACACTTTGCCTTATACATTCATTCAAATTTAACCATAATCTGAATGTTAATGAAAATAGTTGGTTCTGGTCTGATGTGTATCATCCTGTGTTTGTGAAGATTTTTATTTGATTTTTTTTTATATATTGTACTTAAGTTAAATGTTTCACATATTTAAAGAAATCAAGACATATAAAAATAAGATTAGTTTTGCACATGATCATTCATTCCACAACAGTCCCAAAACCCTCCTTAAAATATAAAAACATCATTATTGAAATATCATTATATGTACACTACCAAAAAAAGGTTCGGAATAATTCAGATTTGTTTAAGGTTTCTGAAAGAAGTCACTTATGCAAAAATACAGTAAAAACAGTAATATTACAATTTAAAAGAATGCAGTTGATTTCTGTGATAACAAAGGTGATTTTCAGCAGCCATTCCTGGAGTCTTCAGAGTCTCATGATCCTTCAGTTGCTTTTTTTAAACTTTATTTTTGATCAAATAAATGCATCCTTAAGCTTAAGTCTAATTCTGATTCCAAACTTTTGACAGGTAGGCTATATATCGTTCAACATATTGAGACAAATGTTCAACATATGACATACAAGTGTTTACTGGCAACAAACGTTCACATCTGAGGTTCATATTTTGTTTCAAAAATTTACATGACAATTAATAACAGTGAACATTTGCACATTTGTGGTGGAGAGAAATTAGGAGACCACATTACCCAGCATCCTTGTCGTGCGCCTGCGCAGAACTCACTTTGCCGCTAATGAGTTGTGGAGGGATGCAATGCCCCATAGCAACATCAGTACCAGCGGAGGAGCGCTGAAGCGGACGACCTAGGTTAAATATCCTGAGAATATCTGAAACAGGTGCTGCATGCGGACAGCATGGACGACCAGAAGGTAAGAAGCAACCGCAGTTCTAGAGAAATTACGAATGACGCGCTTTTGATGAAAAAGAAAGAGGATGCTGCGCGAAAAGAGATACTAAATCCGAAATACCGTTAGCTTGTAGCTTCACTTGTCACGTCCTCCGCCCATTGTGTTAGTGGATATGTGTCCTTATAAAGGACAGTCTGACAGTAATAACTTCGTACGGTTAGGATATGCACGGTATTTAAATGCATGATGTAGGCCTGTAGGTGAAGATGTCCTTAAGTTGATTAACAACAGCCAATGTGAATCACCAGAAACCGCCCCGGCTCTCGCAGCTCTGTAACGCAGATTACAAATATTCATTACAGGAAATGTTCTTTTGAAGGGAGGAAATAATATTTCAGTATAGTCATAGATGAATACCCCACAGGCCAGAGAACATTTTGGTGCATACCGGCCTGTATTGTTACAAGCTTCTGGCTTCAGGGAGACGCCCCGGATATAAAGCCGCTTCTGTGAGGCTCATCATCAGCGACTTGATCCAGAAGTTCAGAACAAGTGGCTTGGATGAGATGAGAATGAAACATGACATTTCTGGTCAACCCTATGTGAGCGACAGTAATATCAGCTCACTCCTTCATCTGTCTAACGTGCTTTACTAGTCTTACTACTTGTCTTCCCATGAAACACTCTAAAATAGACAAGGAAACAATAACGTCGATGGGAAAGTATCATATAATGACATCTAACAAATTGTGTTAAAGGTGCACCAAGTAATTTATTGCTAATTTAATTGTATTTGTTTTCTTTTGTGAAAATAGCACTTTTGAGAAATATTCAAATGATTCCAGTCATATCAGTCTTCTAAAAAAGTCATAATTCTTCATGAAGCATGTTGCTCCATCATTAGCACTGGCATGGCAAGATCACATGACCAGCCGTCATGCAATTGTTCATTTACTGATAACTTAACAAACCAAATAATATAACAAATATATTTTCCATATATATAGTTACACTATTAGCTCAGAAAACATGTACAGTGATAGCATAGTTATACAAGTTTTAAAATTTGTTATATTAATTCTAAAGCATAAAATAAACAAATTCGTATGTGATCTTTATATGTGATGAGCTTAAAAACATGTGCAGTAAGCACAGTAATAAAAGCTGTAAAAATTGTATATATTAATTTGATATAATTTCTATAATATATTTACATTGTTTAAAGGCATAAAATTGTCCAAATATAATTGCTCATAATATGTGTTCTTTATATGTACCATGAGCTTAAAAAACATGTATAATAATATTTAAATTGAAAGCGTGAAATGGTCCAAATATAGCTTGTGTGATATTTACATGCAATGAGCTTAAAAACATGTACAGTAAGCAGAGTAATAAAAGATTTAAAAAGTGTTATATATTAATTCTATATAATATTTATAATATATTTATCATTTAAAGACAAAATTGTAAAAATATAATTGATCTTTATATGCTGTAATAAAAGCTAACACAAAGCAATGATACAATTCTAATATAACTATCACCTTAATGAATCTGCTTTGTGAGACAGGCCTCGCCCTGCACGTGTTGCCATTGTCAACCTATTATTGTTTTGATTAAGTTTTGGCTTTATATGACTCATGCATGTGAAATCAGAAATGCATTTATACACTGTTTCAGGAGTCACTGAGGAAGATTATCACTACGTTGGCTCTGAAGAATGAGGAAATTCAGAATTTCATCTGCTGTCTAAAGCAGAGTCTAGAGAACCTAGAGGTAAACACCACAGCAGGCCTTCTGCTCTTTTTACTCACATTTACGTATTGAACTGTTTGATGAATGATGAAATGTCTTTGTCAGGTCTCAGATGACCCAAATATGTTGCAAGCACAGTGTTTGTCCAGACACGTTTCACTAAACCAGCAATTTGCAACAGCAATACCATTTTAAGCAGGAGGAGACAATCCAGCTTTAACTCTGCATTCATGGTGTTTGCAGGTGAATTCAAACCGAGTGCAGGAGGATCTGGAGTCAGAGTTTAGTTCTCTGCATGCTGTCCTGGATGAACTGAAAGAGGGCATGGTCACACGAGTCAAACGGGAAAGAGCCAGTCGCACATATGAGCTACAGGTAAGAGTGCTGTGAGGATCCCTAGCCATAATACAGGTTAACACATTCTTCCTAAATGAATTCAAATGTTTTATATTTGCTAGACTAAATGATCAGATATATCAATAAAAGGCTGAGTGAGACGGCTTTAGAGCTTGTGCATGACTTAGATGTGTCATGTTAAGAGAAGGATAATAAGAAATCCTTGAGGATTACAGTGTCTGTGTCTGTGTGTGTGTGTGTGTGTGTGTGTGAATAATCCAGATTGCATCCATTGTATCCCTGTACATCTGAAACAAAGCATTTTACCTCTTTACCTCTGTGACTGAGTGACATCTGTCATTACAATCTTCGTTTCTTTACTTCTTTGGAAGAATATGATTTCAAAGCACTTCCTCGTGACTAAGTGTGTGACCCTGAAGTTACAATGTGAAAATATTGATGTTAACCATTTTATCTGCATGTTTTTGCAAAAACAAAATCCTGATGAAGAGCCTGCGTGCTCAAAACGTCACCTGTACGATAGCTGTTATTACATTTTTGTATTTTTACAAAATACAACTGTTTTTCGCAACTGTAACTAGGTGTGCTGACTTTTTTCTATTTTCATTATCCACTCATGTTTTTTCCTTCTGTTTGTAGTTATTATATTGTACATGATATATGATTACCTTTCAGAATTTTTGTATTTACTCTGCCTTTCAAAAGTTTGGGATCTGTAAGATTCTTAATGCTTTTGAAAAAAGTCTGTCTCTTATGTTCCCCAAGGCTATAGTCAGGGCGATATGGGCAAAAATTAATATCTCTGTATTTTTTGCAGCATACATTTTTTTACTGTCACTTTTGATCCATTTTTATTGCATCCTTGCTGAATAAAAGTAATCTTTCAGACCCCTGACTTTTGAACAGTAGTGTACATCGATTACATGAAAACACATTTTGACTTAATGGCAATTACTAGAACAGGTGACAAACCAATTGTAGTAATGTAGCAAACTATTCAAATCAAATGCAAATAAAGTTAAGCCTCTAGTACAGAGAAAAACAGCAGTATGCAAAATACAACAAAGCTACAACAATTTAGCACACTGCTAGATAAGTTTATAAGACTACCAAAAGTCGATATAGTTACTATAGATGAGTAAAGTTATGTAATCATTTATTAAACTTCAACCAGATTATGTAATTGTCTAGTGATATTATCATTGTTGTGATGGTCTTTTCAGAGTCAGCTGAGTGCATGCACCAAAGCCCTAGAGAGCTCAGAGGAGCTGCTGGAATTAGCCAATCAGACGCTCTGCTCATCTGAGAATGACAGCTTCACTCAGGTACCGCCCACTTAGAATCTTTACAACACTGTTACAACTAAATGACTCATCTATTTACACTTAAAGGGCTCCTATTATGCTCCTTTTTACAAGATATACTGTAAGTCTCACGTGTCCCCAGAAAGTGTCTGTGAAGTTTCAGCTCCAAATGCCTCTCGGATCAATTATTATTCCATGCTGCTGCTCCCTTCACAGCTTCTCTTCACAGCTCATGCATTGGATACATCAGCAAAAACAAACAAAACATCTTCATGTGTTTAAACCCTTGTCAATTTAAACTCCCGATATACGGTTTTCTGAGTGCACAGAAAGCCAGCGGTCAGATGGCACGTTGCGTGAGTTCTCTTTCATGTCACACAAAAAAGCACACAAGTTCACTTAATGTTGGTAATGTCTGTGAATGTAAACAGTTGGGGAAGAAATCACACGTGTATCATTGTATTAGATCGGTAAAGTGGTTTCTCTTGGATATGGCGACAACACACTACTATTGCAACTCAACCAGGCCTCGTCCCTTCATATTTTTCTGTTTATGCCTTGGGAGGGAATGATTTAAATGAGGGATATTGTGACATGTATGTATGTTCCCGGAAGAAAACTATTACAATCGAGGCATTTGAGGGAGTTCAGAAACAGCGCTTGCTTACTGATATAGAGAATAACTCCCTAAAGAGTGAACTTTGCATATCTTTTTCATGCTCAAACAGCAACATAATGCACTAAAGGAAGCTGAAAGTGTAAAATGCATAATAGGACCCCTTTAATGGCTTTATGGTGTTTCAACCAATTATCTTTTTTGATACGCATTTGAATGAAATTATATTTTTACAATTGCTTTTAGTCCTCAAAAATGGACTTAATGATAGTTATTTGATTGTTTGTTTACAACATTTTGGCATGTTGCTTTCTCTAACAAAGTGGCAAATTGTGTCAGATGCTGCTGGCTTTTCGTGCTAACACGTGCTGGTATGACTGATGTATTGTGTTTTGTTGAGACTCAATGAGACTCAGTTCTCTCGCTCCCTATCTCTCTCTCTGTCCCTTCTTCTTTTTCTCTTTCCTCTCTGCTGCAGGCTGCCAAAGAGATAAAGGATAGGTACTGTACAGATGTCCATATTTAGATCTTTGACTGAGTTCAATGCACAGTGTAGAACATCTTCAAACACTCCTCCTGAAAGTTCATTCATTTCATCATTAACTCATTTCATCTTTTTTTTCTTTTTAGCAAAATTCTAGTAATTTTATTAGTGATGTTTGGCTCGTTTTCATTTCATCTGACTCCCGAGGTTTGTGCGTGTGTATATGCATGGAGTGATTTACTGTGCCCTCATTGACGCTTTCCTTCAGGACATTCCCACATTCCTGTTCTCAGTCTGTCAGATGAGTTTTATTGTCTTTGTAGACTGACTGTGAATGTTTATTGTGGGTCTGTGTGTCTGCAGTGTGACTATGGCTCCAGCATTTCGTCTGTCTCTGAAAGCAAAGGCCAGTGACAGTATGAATCACATGATGGTGGACTTCACTCAGGAAAGAAATATGCTACAGGCCATCACATTTCTTCCAGGTCGGTGTATCAGCAACAAGGAAATGTCATGAACGGTTTAAGCAAAGCCCAAATGATAGATTTCTGCCTATTTTGCATGTAAACGGTTTTATTGGTGTCATGCCAATGTGTGGAGTGTCAATATATCTGATGGTGTAACAGCTTTGACGTCAAGAACAGAAAAATACAATACTTCCAAAATTTCATATAAATGCTGACAGATTTTCTTGTAAACTGTTCAAACTGGTTTTTGTTGTACATGTAAACACTCTATGTTTTTAACTAAACATTGTGCAAGTAATCCCTAAATTCAACCTGAGGCTGGGTAATAGGATGGCATTTGTGATAAAATTTTATCAAATTTAATTTTAAATTAATCAATGAATAAATTAATAATAATTGTATTAAAATGAATATAATAAATTATAAACATTATTCACGTTTAACAACTATAATAATTTCAGAATTCTCATATATAACCATGGCACAATTTTAAGAAAATCTGACAATAAGCAAAAAAACAAGTGTGTCACGAGTGGGTGCGTCCAGTGTTGGTTGATTATATCGTGAGTGAATTAGTTTACTTTTTTATGACTTCATTATCTCTCTTTTACTGGATAAAATAAAAAAATTATAATAATATAAAATGATATACATATATAGATTGTTTACATTTATTATTTACATTTTGAATGACGATAATTTCAGAATTTCTATGTCTCATGTTTCGGATTATTGGGACTCATGAAAATTTTAGGCTTTGGCTGGTATCTCTGAACAAAGGTCTCCGGTATCAGATATCTCTGTTCCTCTCACCTTTAGTGCCTGCTACACCTGAAATTCACGTGGCTGAATGCCTGGTGTTTGATAACACAGTCACAGTGGTGTGGACCTTACCTGAACCCGACTCCAAAATCGACCATTACATCCTGGAATATCGGAGAACAAATCATGAAGGTCCTCCTCGGGCTCGAGAAGACTACCCCTGGATGGTGATGGAGGGGATAAAAGAGACTGAGTACACTCTCACGGGTAAGTGTTGATATTTGTTTTGCAAGTGATCTTTTCTTGAGTAGTTTTAGATAAAGTTGTGATTTGTTTTTCAGGCCTTCGTTTTGACACGCGTTACATGACCTTCAGAGTGAAGGCATGCAATAAAGCTGTGGCGGGTGAATTCTCAGAGCTGGTTACTCTAGAAACACATGGTAAGTTGCACTTACACACACACACACACACACAGAAGGTAATGAGGCATGAAGTTTCTTCTCTGCACAGAGAGAAGAGTCTAACAGAAGTTACAAAGCACTATAAAAGCACCTACTAAAAAGTCTGTTAAAGCCTGATTTAGAGACCACTGCTGTAGTACGTTTGCCCTTTTGTGAAATAAAAGTTAGGGCTGTCAATTTAATGTTAATCTATGTTAATTACATTAAATCACATTACATTTAGTCATTTAGCAGACGCTTTTATCCAAGGCGACTTGCAAGTGTTTTTTTATTAATATGTTAATTAATGTTAATTTAGTGTACTTCATTCTAAAATAACAGTAAGAATATAAGCAAGTAATAATACCCCCTTACATATCCATTGAATGCCTATTCAATGCATAATAATTTTTTTAAATTGTCTATATTTAGATTATGTGATTAATCATGATTTAATTTGATTAATTGGCCGATCATGCAATTTACATTTTTTTAATTATAGAAATATGTAGGGCTGCACAATTAATTAAAATAAAGTGAAACTGCAATACATGATTATCAGATCGCAAAGGCTGTTATTTAATTTAATAGATATAAGCGCTACATGGTTCAAAGTGAAGCACAGCACTGTGTTCTTTTACGTGCAAGCAGCTACTTATGAAAAATAATGTAATAATAATTTTCTTTTACAGTTCAACAGTACAATTACAATTGTTATATCAATATACTTATATAATTTACAAAAGTTATACTGAACTGAAATTACAATTACAATTTTTCTTTATTTTATTTTCGGAAATACTTTTTATTTTACAGTAAAATATTACAAAAGTAATCTTTCTTATGTTGTTTAATATTTTTATTTGGTAAAATAATAGAAATAATAATAACTATTCTTATTCTTATTTAGTCATATTGATATGTAATCACAAAACAAGCACAGAAAACCTAGAGTTTTTTTTTTCCAATCACAATTTTTATCTTAAAAAAACAATAAAATCACAATTATTATTTATTTTTTTTACCTCGTGCAGGCCTAGATTATTTGGGAAGTGCTGAAAACATGGAAAACATGAAAAATAACATTTAATTTTTTAGAAAAATAAACTTAACCTCTTACCTTTAAGTCTCCCTTGTCATTTGCTTCCAGCATTCGTCTTTAAACTGGACGCAGGTTCAGCCCATCAGAACCTGAAGGTGGAGGATCTCAGCGTGGAATGGGACAGCAGCGGTGGGAAGGTAGCCGTCCAGGACATCCGTAAGGAGAAGAACAGGACCAGCTCTCCTATGCATTCTCCTGCCAGGTCAGAGTCACACCTACTATTTTAGGACACTTACAAAGTGCTGTACACAGACAGGATTGCCCCTAAACAGCTGTTTCCATTAAATACATTTGTTGATTGCTTCTCCTAGCTGACTATAGTAGACAGAAAGCAGATGTTCAGCATGGCCTCTTTACATATGCTGTCATTGGCTAAATTGTATGCCAAAAGCAGCCTTTGCTGGAATGTTCACCCAGCCTTAAGCCAGAAACCTGCCCTGCTTGTCCAATCTTATAATTTTTTTTTCTCCCTCAGGACAGCCATGATGTCCCCCAAAAGAGCTCCATCTGCTAGAGTGGGCCGGGACCGCTTCACAGCAGAGTCCTACACTGTCTTAGGTGAGTCAACACAAACATATTGCATTGAGCTACAAGACACTGAAGAACCCTCAACTTTGAGAGTGTTCATTCAAAAACTCCCCAAATTCTCTCCAATGTCCAGGAGACACCATGATCGATGCAGGGCAGCATTACTGGGAGGTACGGTTTGATAAGGAGAGTAAGGCGTTTGCGGCAGGAGTCGCTTTGCGGTCTCTAAGTCGCTTTGATCAGCTGGGGAAGAGTACCGCTTCCTGGTGCATCCACCTTAACAACTGGCTTCAGCAGAGCCTCACAGCCAAGCACAATAATAAAGCCAGAACACTGGACTGCCCCTTTCCCGACCGCATCGGCATTTACTGCAACTACGAAGAAGGTGAGTTAAGCTATAAATATGACAAAATGAGTAAAATAGTGCCACAGTAATGATGAAACTAACTTGTTAGCTATGGTAAAAGCAAATGGATGATGTTGGCTGTGTGAGAACCGACTGGTTGCAGCAGTCACAGATTGTATATTTAATAAAGTGGTTGACAGATATATTGCTATGGGCAGTACCGTATTAGCCCGAATATAAGACGACCCCCCTTTTTCCAGATGTACCTTTTGGAAAAAGGCTTTTTAAAATCCAAATCTTGTTTTTTCTCAGTAAAACACATTTTGTCTTCAATTATTTTCATATTGCATATTTTTCCTATTTTAATTTTTGTTTTGAAAGTATGGTAAAAACTGGTAAAATGTACTAACAATCACATTTAAAAAATATACACTTTTTGATATACCATAAAAAAAAACAGGTAGCCCATCTGAATTAGGACATTTAGGCTATCCATCTAATAGTAGCCTACCAAAATCTTATTAAGAGTAGAAGTTAAATCTTACTGTAGTCTTCAAATCTGGGTACTGTCTTACGTTTTAAAATCACAAAGGGAGTTTGGTCCCATCAGGCTAACGTGACAGTCACGACTCATGCAGCTGTAAGGTTTTCTGCTTCTTTTGTTTTTACTTGCGATCTTTACAACACACATTACATTACGTATTTCATGGCACACTCGTTTTATGCATATTTGGCGCCACCTATTGTTGTGGATGTATTATTGACATGTCAAAGTCTAGACCCTGAATATAAGACGACCGAGTTTTTTCAGATGTATTTCCAAGAAAAAAACATCGTCTTATATTCGGGTCAATACGGTATTTGACTTTTTTAATTATTGGCATTAGCTGAGTTTTTCTGTTTGTGTCAGAAGTTGGACTTTTATTTTGACAGTGCCAGGACTTTTGTGCGAACAAATAGTCACTATTTTTCTTTAATTGTGAAAATTTCTAAAATCTGATTTTAGAATCAACAAGTTGCTCTATAAAGTATAAATATGTTTATTTTACAGTTTTTCCCCATCAGGTTTTTCATATTTATTTTTCAAATTTTTTTTTATTTGGTAAATAATTTGTAAACATAAATTTAATTGCAGCATGTACAAATTGCATGATATTGTATATCTTTACATTGGCCATCAATCACCCTGCTTTTTAAAGGGGTCATATGATGTTGCTAAAAAGAACATTATTTGGTGTATTTGGTGTAATGAAATGTGTTTATGCGGTTTAAGGTTAAAAAAACACATTATTTTCCACATACTATACATTATTGTTTCTCCTCTATGCCCCACCTTTCTCGATTTTTACAAAGCTCATCAATCTGAAAAGCAAGGTGTGCTGAGATTGGCCAGCTATCCAGTGCGTTATGATTGGCCGAATACTTCAAGTGTGTGACGGAAATGTTACGCCCCTCACATACTGTGATGATGCCCTGTCAGGTCGGAGCGATGATTCAAAAACATGAAAACCCATTATAAACGAGGCATGGATTATAATGACTTATACTGTCTTTTTACGCGTTGCGTTGCATCGCGCCACGTAAACATAAAACCATGTCTGCATTTGTGATCGGAGAAATACGAAGGAGCGTCCGGCGGGCTTGCGGCAACCACATGTGACGACCCCGAGCTGGACTCCACTTCGTCCACGGTGAAAGCCGATCTTGCGATCCACAGCGAAGGTAATGTATTTCCTTAGCAACCAGCACGGATCAGCTCCAGACATGACGAAGCAGATATCATCCTCTTTTGGAAGGCCAAACAAAGTAGTTTTGCTTTCACAATGAAACACAGTGTCACACACGGCAGGCTAGAGTGAGCGGTGGCCGGCGGATTCGACAAAGGAGCGTCCGGAGGGCTTGCGGTAACCACATGTGATGACCCCGGGCTGGACTCCGCTTCATCCACGGTGAAAGCCGATCGGGCGATCCACAGCGTGAAGTTGATGTATTCCCTCAGTGATCAGCTCTAGGCATGACGAAGCAGATATTGTCCTCTTTTGGAAGGCCAAACAAAGTAGTTTCGCTTTCACAACCTTCATACCTTCAGAACCAAGTTCCAGCAGCCTGTTATACCAGCCTTTATGGTAAGATATAATACAGCTCACTTTGTATTTAACAATTTAATCACACATAAATTAGGGATATTTTGAACATGCTAGTCGGCTATAATTAAGCTAAACAGATGTGTTTCAGAGTCCTTTGCGTAAGATGCATTCTTGCATTCAAAAACATCTAAGTGGAGTGCAATGGAATGGAACAGAATGCTGGTCTATTTTTAATTTGGCACCATCATAAAAATGCAGTCATGGCACAAATTGCTGCAAAAAATAAAAAAATACGCAAATCACAGCATGTTTGTCTGGATATGAGTGCTTGTAAGAGCGGTGCTTCAAATGCAGTGCAACTTTAACTAACTTACTAAAAAAAAATAAGAAAAAATGTACAAGAAAAAGTCTACATTTATTTGTTTACGACCAGACATTTTTATCCAAAGTGACCTACAAACTTACACTGTACCAAGTTAGACTAACATACAATCTGCCTTACTGATTGATAAGTTTTTCTGTTTGGGTGATAAGTGTCAGAAACGGGACATTTATTTTGACAGTGCTGAGACTTTTATGCGAGTAGAGTGCTGTTAGGATGACATTTTTTGTAGGCCAAAACCTGAAAACCTTTTTTGGCTAAAAGCCTGAAATAAGTTTTGTGGTTATCACAAGCTCAATATATTTTCCCGTTTTATTCTACAACAAAATACATCAGTAATACCCCCATGTCATTTTTAAGCTTTTACTAACAAGTAGCTACATGGGACTACAGAGGATGCCGAGGACATAAAATGTCATCACACTGAACAGGAAAACTCACTAGTCCACCTTTAGTGCACTTACAAACTATTCTAACTCAAACTTTCAGAGAAAATGTTTTTTAAATAAAGACTGCAAGAGTTGTCAGAAGCTTAATAGTGGTGACGCTGAAATTCTCTTTCGCCCCCTATAGGTGTGGAATGGGAGTTTCTCAGTGCAGACGGGCCTTCAGGTACCCAGCATCGTGCTGAGCGGTCAGAAGCGAAACAGTAATACAAGCAGCTCTAATGCCAGCCTTACTTAAATCATACTTCACTCTAGAACTGCTACACGTACACACAGGTTTGGAGAACATCTGGCAACCCTGACATAACACTAGCACAACAAAGCCTGGAGGCTCTTCCTATCATCAGTATGTCTTCCCAGCCCAGGGGGAGAGCTGCTCTAGTTTGCTTTCCTCATTCCTTTTAGCTCACTGATCTGGATCCTGTGCCTTTCAGTGTCCTGAATTGAGACATAATGTGGTATTACTCTATTTCAACATGCTAAAAGCTTTAATAGCCTTGAGTTCATGTGCATATCACTAGGGCCAAAAGTTGTGTTATGTTTTTTGTAGCATTTGTTCTTTCAAATCACAGTATTTGAGCCACATTTGAAGTTATTTCAGTGCAACAGCAGCATGTTGGTGTTATTGTTTGAAATCTCAAATGAAACTGTATTGTTTACACACTGAATGTCTTTAATTATATGCCTCAAATTCTGCTACAGTGGCTGCTTCCATAAATATTTTAAACGTATAGTATCAGAATAGCACAATAATCTTAAGCTTAATCATAGAAATCAAATGCCTTTTATAGAATGTATTAATTCAGCAGTTCCAGCATCTGAGGAGGAAGGAGGCAGGTTTAACAATCCATTTGGTTGTGCACAGTCAATGGTGTGTGTGTGTATGTCCACTTAATCATAGAAATCAAATGCCTTTTATAGAATGTATTAATTCAGCAGTTCCAGCATCTGAGGAAGGAGGCAGGTTTAACAATCCATTTGGTTGTGCACAGTCAATGGTGTGTGTGTGTATGTCCATGTTCATAATCTGTCACCCAGAAAGGTACTTTTCAGTGTTCTTGATGCAAATATTTACTAAACTGGACTTTTTTTGTATGCCAGCTGCAATTACAGATTACAGAAGACAGTGATTTTTTTTTGTTTTTCCAAAACTGACTCGTTTCTGTGGAGAACAAAATACATTTAAAAAAAATGCTAGAGCTTTCAAGTTTAATAAAGGATATAAAAGCATGTGAATTGTCATAAAAGTCCTCCATATATTCCAAAGTTTATGAAGTCATTTGGTAGTTTTGGGTAAGAAACTGTGATTTAAGTCAATAGATATTGATAATCTTCCCTTCCAGTGAACTGTTAATTCAAACCATTGCAATTAGTCAGTGAGACAGTTGAACTCCAGAACCAAATCAGTCTGATTCATGGCTGAATTGGATTGACTGATTCATTGAAAAGAGCCGACTCAAAAGAATGATTGATTTATGAATCAGACGTCGCTACTACTTTCATTAAGAGAGCAATATAACGAACTAGATGTATGGACTGTTTTTATGCTGCTTTTGAATTATTTGTCAAGCTCGAAAGCTCCACATGGTACTTGAATTGGAAAACAAAGTCATACAGTTTTAGAACAACACGAGTGTGTAATTAATGACAGCATTTTTATTGTTGGCTAATCTTAATATAATCTGCAATGCTTTTAGTCAAACACCTGAATATTTTAAACATTACTGTTTGAAACTAAAGTCAACCTGTAAAATTGTACTATTACACTACCTGTTACGTCAATAAAACCAATGCCAAACATACTTATTGTCTTGCACATCCACACAAGGAAGAAAGTGTGACACAGCGTACGTTTTTCCCATGATCAATGTATTCTCAAAATATATAGTATAAAACAAGTTTTAACAGGAACAGAAAAACAACATTTGTTTGATCTGTTTCTCAGATCTGGAGAAAGAAGACCTGCAACTTCCCCACATAGTAAAGTCACAATATAGATCAGCATATTATCAACAACCATTTGTGATTATAGCAAGCTTGATATTTTTATGATCAGAGACAGAGAACGGAGACGTAGACCAGCTATCTGACACACAGGAATTGAAGACAAAATATTTAAATGTGACTTTTCATCTAAATAACTTCACAAACAGCAGTAGTGATTTACAGTCAGCAGCTATGCAATGCAACATGATGATCGATATGTTTGTCTAATAAATGATTGTGATAACTAATACATCATAATGCTGAAAGGATCAATAAAGAAAATTTGATTCAAGGGCCTATTTGTGGATCCAACTGAACAGCAGTGGGCAAATATCACAGATACAGTGTTCAGGCGAGTAAAGCTGTATAGTATAGATTTAAGACGAGCTTAATACTAAGGAATGATTCCTTGTTCCACAATGAAATCATTATTATCATCATCATCTTGCTGAGATTACATTTATTCCTGGTTTCGTCTCCTATTAAGAACCTCTTGGAGCTCATCTGTTAAGCACAAAACCACAGTGAGTTATGGATTTGTTGGAGTAATTGTAGATATCAGAAGCAGGAAATATTGTTCTGATTTGAAAGTAAAAGATTTAGAGTTAAATAGTGGCACAAAAACAAGAACGTGTTCTTACGTATGTCAACATGTTGCCGCTCACTCTTGGGAATATTCTTAGGCATGCTTGACAAACTGTTGCTTTGGGAAGTTGTTTTAGAGTAGCCAGGAGGTACCAAAGCTTTTCTTTCACCATCTACATTAAAACAGAAAACATTAAGATGCCTCTGCTTGTCACTGAAATTATTAGTAAATCCACAGATCTGCCAAATGGTATTAGGGAAGTGATCAAAGCGCTGGGACATTTATTTGGACTAAGTGTTTAGTAGTAGCATCAAAGAGACGTCAAACTTGTTCTGACTAAAGGTATAAAGCAGTTCATCATTGCAACACCCTCACCCATATGATTTCAGCCCAGATAACAATCTCTCAAAAACAATTCACCCGAACTACTGTTTAATTCTGGAGACACTGAATTCTGATGTGGTAAATATCGCCCTGCTAAAACAAAATACCATCATCGGAATGATCCAGTAATTAACTATATTTTTTACAGCATTTATTACTCTTTGTTAATGTAAATATCAAACAAGAACAATGAAATGAAGTGTAAATGAACAAAAAATGCTGGATTGGACAATTCATTTTCATTTAGAAATGTGGGACATTGGGCTATTGTTGTTACCTGGAAGATGTGGCAGGACAGGAGGTGGAGGACTTGCTGCCTGATCCACCTCATACTCTCCAACATCTGGAAAACACAAACATACAGTAATCGAGGATCAACAACATGCATTACAAACACAATAAAACATTCAAAAAAAAGCGAAGGAACTGCGAACCCCTAAATTCACAGATACTTTGAAGTGTATAAGAGCTTACCTGAGACATTGAGGTAGGTGCTTTCATGCGTGTTTGCTTCTGACTGGAATCTTTGATTCCTTGGGACTAAACATGCAAATCAAAAGAGTTACATTACTTTGCATGTCTTCTAAAAGTAAAGCTGACCGTTTAAGTTCAGTTTAAGACACTCATTAAACCCAATACAGTATGTTTTAAATGATAGATACGTTCACTGACAGTATGTATTTGCGCTTGAAGATGATTTAAAGATGCATTACCTGGTTTTGGGGGTGGCACTGGAGGAGTAGGCGAAGGGCATTTGGGACAATGCACATTTCTCTCACCATTCTCATTTTCGGTCTCAGCAAATGCTGAAAGAGAGAACAAAAATAGGAATAGTATAAATCAGGCCTATTAAACTTAGGGTGACCATATTTTAGTTTTTCAAAAAGAGGACAGTAGGGGGCGGGGTTCGTGGGTGGGGACAGGGGCGGGGCTTCGCCTAACAGTACTCATAGCAAGTTTTTTGTTTGTTTGTTTGCTTATTTTGTTTTTATAATAAATAAATAAAAAGAAAACAAGTAGAAAGAACAGAAAAAGAACAGATAATGCAAGGTGTTAGAACAGTGATGGGCAAACTTGGCCCTTCCAGGCCACTTTCCTGCAGAGATTTGATCCAACCCTGATAAAACTCACCTGCCTGTAGCCTTCTAGTAGTCTTGAAGACAATGATTAGCTGGTTCAGGTGTGTTTGATTAGGGTTGGAACTAAACTCTGAAGGAAAGTGGCCTGGAAGGGCCAAGTTTGCCCACCCCTGTGTTAGAAGGTCATTATTTATAATTAATACAAAGAAAATAAGTAGAAAGAATAGAGAAAGAATAGAGAATGCTAGTGTTAGAGGCTCTTTTTTCTTTATAAATAAAACAAGTAGTTAGAATAGAAATAGAATAGAGTGCGCAAATGTTAAAGGGTCACGTTTAAAAAAAAAAAAAAAGGAGATAAAATTAGAAGTAGCATTAGAATAGAGGGTGCTAGAGTTAGAGGGTCAAAAAGGGTCACGTTTAAAAAAAAAAAAGGAGATAAAATTAGAAGTAGCATTAGAATAGAGGGTGCTAGAGTTAGAGGGTCAAACGAAGATGAAAGAGATGCGTTTTCAGCCGTTTCTTTAAAATATTAAAGATGGCTTGGATTGAGCTGGGCAGGTCATTCCACCAGGAGGGAATAGTTAATGTAGAAGTCCATGAAAGTTTAATCACAGTTAGAATGCTAAATGTTTCAATACAAGCATTTCAGTCAAATGTAATTTATGCAATATTTCAAACCTTTAACCCACTTGGGAATCAAAGCATGGCAACAGTATAAAAGTAGCCCAATTCTGTGGGGGGAAAAAACGCGGACTTGGCAACCCTGCATCCAAGAAGAGCTGCAGGAGTCAGCTTTGACTGATCACAGGTCAAGAAGAAGGAGAGATGACTGACAAGACCATGCTGGAGTATTTGCTGCTCAACAGATCCTGAGCTCATTGACAAATATCTGATCTTGTAAGATGTGCTCCCTTTACACAGAGTGCGTGTGATTGCGAAATCGAAATCGAAAGTGAAAGTGAACGGCGCAAACGCTCATTCAAAAATATTTAAATACACCGCATCCTGAGAGCAGCTCCATGACGCACCAAAATGATATACAATATTAGAATATTTAAAGGAGTGGACACAAAAATCGCAGGAGCGAAACACGTTGCGGGAGCAGGCGGCAATGGTCAGAGATTCAGCGGGAGAGGGATATAGAAAACAGCGGAATCCTCGGACATTTTGGGCAATTAAGAAATCCCGGCCGGACGTATTTTTGTAGGTCCAAAAAGAGGAGATGTCCGGGGAAAAGAGGACGTATGGTCACCCTAATTAAACTGGCCCACATGAGGTTGCAGTTATTTCTCTTAAGACTGTTTTCCTTGTCTGCCCTGTTCGGTGGAGAATGTGCGTCTCATTTGTCTAACATTCAACTTTAAAAGCAATACATTCAAACAATACCAGCATTCACTATGACATTTTGGGCAATTAAGAAATCCCGGCCGGACGTATTTTTGTAGGTCCAAAAAGAGGAGATGTCCGGGGAAAAGAGGACGTATGGTCACCCTAATTAAACTGGCCCACATGAGGTTGCAGTTATTTCTCTTAAAATAATCAGTTATTTTTATATATTCATTATTGTTTGCTATAAAACTCTAATGTCTGCCCTGCTCTGTGGAGAATGTGTCTCAACTGTGTAAAAAATTCAACTTTAAAAGCAATACATTCAAACAATACCAGCATTCACTAAGTCGGAAAAAGAGAACCAAAACCACCGGTTTAAACTATAATGGAATGAGTATTAGATCACGCTAATCAAACTAGGCTACTTCTCAACCAATGTGTTTGTTATGCAAAGAGACCACATTCACTGTGAAAAAGCTGTTTCAGCTCTGGTATCAGTCTAATTTACTTCTAAGATTAGAGCTGTCAGTTTAAATTAGACACACATTAAACTCAATACAATATGTTTAAAATTATATATAATTTAATTGACAGTATGCATTCGTACATAAAGATGATTTAAAGATATATTACCTGGTTTTGGGGGAGGCATTGGAGGAGTAGGCAAAGGGACTTTGGGACAATGCACATTTCTCTCACCACTCTCCTTATCTGTCTCAAAAAATGCTGAGAGAGAGAAAAAAGAATAGTATAAATCAGGCCTATTAAAATGGCCCACATGAGGTTGCCAGTTATTTCTCTTAAAATAATCAGTTATTTTTATATATTCATTATTGTTTGCTATAAAACTCTAATGTCTGCCCTGCTCTGTGGAGAATGTGTCTCAACTGTGTAACATTCAACTTTAAAATCAATACAAACAAACAATGCTAGCATTCATTAAGTTACAGAAAGAGAGAACCAAAACCACAATTTTCATCTAGAACGGAATGACAAGTATAACTACACGCTACCGAACAAACTAGTTCTCTACCAATGTGTTTATGCAAACCATATTCTTAATGAAAGAGCGCTGTTTCAGCTCTGGCAAATTTACAAGCACTTTTTAAATTTATTTTGTAAATGTTTTTGCCTCAAATTTACTGTTTTACTCTGAATGAAAGCTTGAAACACTTGTTTTATGGAGGACAGGAATGTTTAGTTGAAACAAATCTTTTGAACAAACCAAAAAGAACTTAAGCAAACATTTAAAAAATATGTTTCTTAGGGGAAAAAAATGTTTTGTGCAATGTATGTTTGTATGTTCAAACAGCAATCAAAGAAAAAAAAAAAAGTCAGCCAACTGGAAACCCATGTTTACATTTTTTAGGTAATTTTAAGAGCAACAGTGGAATATTTCATCTCAGTCTGTCAATCATTCTTTTAGTGGTTTCTACGATGGGGTGACATTATTTTGTAACCTACATGTCATTCATAGTGTTGTTAACATTTTCTAGATGTATGATTCATAGTCAGCCAACTGGAAACCCATGTTTACATTTTTTAGGTAATTTTAAGAGTAACAGTGGAATATTTCATCTCAGTCTGTCAATCATTCTTTTAGTGGTTTCTACGATGGGGTGACATTATTTTGTAACCTACATGTCATTCATAGTGTTGTTAACATTTTCTAGATGTATGATTCATATATACCGACAAATACGTCAGTCTGGCTGACAAAAAAGTTTTTTCCTAATTACGAAAAACACTACTAAAATAGTCTCTTACTGATATTTTTCTCATAGTGTTCCTCCATCAGAAGAGGCACCAAAACGCCATTGGTCTTCTCCAGCAGGCAGTTAACGACATCATGCAGGGTCTCACAGGTGATCTGTGAGATTGTGAACATGGTGTGTGAATACCAGAACATACCAGAGTAAATGATTTGATTGTAGTACTTAATGTATGTTTGCTCACTCCAGAAGCATTTACCACTAAATACACAAAAACACACATATCCTGTAATATGCAAAAACTACAGTACAGTCAGATACCACCAAATGCCATTTCTCTTCAGATCAAAAACTTACAATTCTAGGGTGTGGTTTAAGATAAAAGTCAAGAGATAGAGCTGCTCAAAACACAAATTATCACAAGTTTCTAAAGCCCTGTGGTGACTTCCAAGAAATGTTTAATGTATAACCCATCAGTTGTAGTGATCCACTGCATCTGATTCCCAACACTGACCCATAAAACTTTGTCTTATCAGATCTTCCTCTTCGCTTTCAGAGCAATCACACATTAAGACACAAAGTACAAAGCGCCTTGTGCAAGAGCTCGGAGTTCACACAAAACTACCAGTTTGCAGATGGCTAAATAAATAATTTGATGTTCTGAGAGTATTCCTATTAGACTGAAGCTTTTATCGGGCATATTGTGAATGTAATCTATTATTTATCAGAGGCTTTTAATCTTAAAGGGGTCATATGATGCGATTTCTATTTTTCCTTTTCTTTAGTGTGTTATGTAGCTATTTGTGCATGTATAAGATCTGCAGAGTTACAAAGCTCTCCCACAAAAGGATTTATTCTATCTAAAAGAGAAGGCTGATCCAGACGGGGCTAAAACGCCTCATTCAAACACGCTCCCACATCTCTACGTCACGATGTGGAAATATTTGCGTAATGCCGCCCAAATGTGCACGCAAAGAAAGAAGGCGTGGTTTCAGGATCCGTAGTAGTGTTGATGCAGCCATGTCAGGGAGACGCTGTGTGTTTCTGTGCGAAAGCAAAAGCACTTTATTTGACTCAGATTTATATTCACTATGCCTGGTCAAAACATGGATATTCCTTTCTTATCACATTGTATTTTTGAGATAAAAGCATGGATATCTCAAAACTTTTTGTGTCTTAATAATAAAAAAAGAGGTCTTGCTTATTGACACTTCTCATAAGCTTCGTAAAGCTGGCTCACTTATTTTAAATGCAAATGGCTCTGTTTTATAATATAGAGCTGAAATTGTGTCTGCAAGATCTGCATACTTCTCTAACATTATAGATAATCAAAGTGATTCTTGGCATCTCTTTCATTCTATAAATAGACTTCTAAACGCTAATGTTGGCACCTCTCTGCCTGCTTCAAATCAATTGCGTAATGACTTCCTTCATCTTTTCAGTTCTAAAATTGACACGGTCTACACCTGTTTCCTCTTCAACACTTTGATTACCTAGTTTCTCTGGCACATCTTTTACTACCTTTTCTCAAATTGACAAGCTGCTTCTTAGGGAGGTATCACATATGAAAGTTACCACTTGCAAACTTGCAGCTGCACAATCCCTTTACAATAAATAATCTTCTTGAGCTCCTTCAGTCTGGCTTTCGAAAAAATTGAGACAGCCTTGGTCGAGGTCACCAATGACCTGTTAAGAGCCTCAGATTCTTGTTCTTTCTCCATTCTTCTCCTTCTTGATCTTAGTGCTGCTTTTGATACTGTCAATCACAATCTCTTACTTAACCAGTTTCAATCTCTTGAAACTATCTTTGGTGTTTCTGAGACCCCTTTATCCTGGTTTAGATCATATCTCTCTGATCGTCGACAGTTTGTCTGTATGAGCGATCTTAGGTCAACTCTGTCCCTATGGGTGCTCCTCAGGGTTCAATTTTAGGCTCCTTACTTTTTTTGCTTCTACTTTTAAGATCACTTGGGCTTAATTATCATTTTTATGCAGACAACACTCAGATTTATATTCACTCTAAGCCTGGTCAAAACATGGATATTCCTTTCTTATCACATTGTATTTTTGAGAAAAGCATGGATATCTCAAAACTTTTTGTGTCTTAATAAAAAAAAAAAAGAGGTCTTGCTTATTGACACTTCTCATAAGCTTCGTAAAGCTGGCTCACTTATTTTAAATGCAAATGGCTCTGTTTTATAATATAGAGCTGAAATTGTGTCTGCAAGATCTGCATACTTCTCTAACATTATAGATAATCAAAGTGATTCTTGGCATCTCTTTCATTCTATAAATAGACTTCTAAACGCTAATGTTGGCACCTCTCTGCCTGCTTCAAATCAATTGCGTAATGACTTCCTTCATCTTTTCAGTTCTAAAATTGACACGGTCTACACCTGTTTCCTCTTCAACACTTTGATTACCTAGTTTCTCTGGCACATCTTTTACTACCTTTTCTCAAATTGACAAGCTGCTTCTTAGGGAGGTATCACATATGAAAGTTACCACTTGCAAACTTGACCCCCCCCCACCACCACAAGCTTATTTAAATCTTGTTTTGATTCTTTGTGCCCAGCTGTTCTCAGCATTGTTAACGATTCTCTGCGTACTGGTGTTGTACCAGCAGCATTGAAAACTGCTGCTGTAACACCTGTTCCAAAAAACATTGATTAGGATAACAAATAATTATCGCCCTATATTAAACCTTAGTTTTCTTGAAAAAAATCTTAAAATGTATTGTGGCCTTGCAGCTGCACAATCCCTTTACAATAAATAATCTTCTTGAGCTCCTTCAGTCTGGCTTTCGAAAAAATTGAGACAGCCTTGGTCGAGGTCACCAATGACCTATTAAGAGCCTCAGATTCTTGTTCTTTCTCCATTCTTCTCCTTCTTGATCTTAGTGCCGCTTTTGATACTGTCAATCACAATCTCTTACTTAACCAGTTTCAATCTCTTGAAACTGTCTTTGGTGTTTCTGAGACCCCTTTATCCTGGTTTAGATCATATCTCTCTGATCGTCGACAGTTTGTCTGTATGAGCGATCTTAGGTCAACTCTGTCCCTATGGGTGCTCCTCAGGGTTCAATTTTAGGCTCCTTACTTTTTTTGCTTCTACTTTTAAGATCACTTGGGCTTAATTATCATTTTTATGCAGACAACACTCAGATTTATATTCACTCTAAGCCTGGTCAAAACATGGATATTCCTTTCTTATCACATTGTATTTTTGAGATAAATGCATGGATATCTCAAAACTTTTTGTGTCTTAATAAAAAAAAAAAAGAGGTCTTGCTTATTGACACTTCTCATAAGCTTCGTAAAGCTGGCTCACTTATTTTAAATGCAAATGGCTCTGTTTTATAATATAGAGCTGAAATTGTGTCTGCAAGATCTGCATACTTCTCTAACATTATAGATAATCAAAGTGATTCTTGGCATCTCTTTCATTCTATAAATAGACTTCTAAACGCTAATGTTGGCACCTCTCTGCCTGCTTCAAATCAATTGCGTAATGACTTCCTTCATCTTTTCAGTTCTAAAATTGACACGGTCTACACCTGTTTCCTCTTCAACACTTTGATTACCTAGTTTCTCTGGCACATCTTTTACTACCTTTTCTCAAATTGACAAGCTGCTTCTTAGGGAGGTATCACATATGAAAGTTACCACTTGCAAACTTGCAGCTGCACAATCCCTTTACAATAAATAATCTTCTTGAGCTCCTTCAGTCTGGCTTTCGAAAAAATTGAGACAGCCTTGGTCGAGGTCACCAATGACCTGTTAAGAGCCTCAGATTCTTGTTCTTTCTCCATTCTTCTCCTTCTTGATCTTAGTGCTGCTTTTGATACTGTCAATCACAATCTCTTACTTAACCAGTTTCAATCTCTTGAAACTATCTTTGGTGTTTCTGAGACCCCTTTATCCTGGTTTAGATCATATCTCTCTGATCGTCGACAGTTTGTCTGTATGAGCGATCTTAGGTCAACTCTGTCCCTATGGGTGCTCCTCAGGGTTCAATTTTAGGCTCCTTACTTTTTTTGCGTTTTACATAAAAGGATTAGAGATGGGAGAAGCCCTACAATCATCTTGACGTCTTCATTTTTCATGTGCAGAGTGAATCCAGCAGCGTCCAGGTTTCGGTCACGACAGCAGTCATCATTCACGGAGACGAGATCAGAGAGCTCCAGCTTCTCTATATACTGCGTTCACAAGCACAAGCAAACATTTGATGCACAAATAATCTGTTCTATATGTAGACAAACATATACAGAATCAAACAGCCTTCAGGCCTGCAAGCTTTCATTTGAATACATTAATGCAAATATACAAAATGCACACACACATTGAAATTATTTTCTAGCAGCTAGTAAAATTAAATTGAAAAGGCAGCTTGTAAAAATCACTTACAACACTGTCTTTGGTGTTATTGTAGAAAAAGAGTACATTGCCACATAAACTGGTCCAGAGTTTACGACCCATCTGTGCAAAGAAAAATAAACATTTACTGAAAATAAATACATTTTCTGAATAAAAAAATAAAATAAATAAAAATAAAAATATTTCGTATTAATTTTCCATTATCACATTTCTGTGTATTTCCAGGTTTAAATTAGATTTTTAATCCCAGATTGTGTTCATATATATAGTGTTTTGACAAACTGCATATGTTTGTCATTATTGACAATGGTTGAGTTTATTCATAAAATACATACCTGTGGAAAGACAGAACCAGTTTTTTAAGAATGAAAAGAATGAAGAAAACAATAGAAAATTATTTTCTTCATAATAAACACTTCAGAAACAAGACTTGACCCAGAGAGGCATGATTATTTTATAATAATTTTAACCAGTGGACATTAAATTAGATTGTTATAAGACTTATATTAGTTATAAACCTAAACTATAAGGAATGTGTATCGTTAAAGCGCATGCCATGATGCAAAATATTTACCCTGTGCTGACCTGCAATAAATAATGAACAAATAAAAGACCACATTTTTTTTTACAAATGGGTTAGAGGTGATGTCCTCTACCAGCTGGATGAGAGCTAAGACCTAAAATGTCAAATGAAAGAAACCCGTCTTTACTAAAACCATCGTCACTAAATGCAAATCTTTTATCTGTAGTGTCCGATCTGCAGGCAAGTATGCCATCAGACCAGTTTTTTTTTGTTGGCATTTCCACATTAGTAGGAAAAGAGTTCCCATGTTGCGACAGAGACTTGTGTAACACTGCTTTGATGGCCACAGGAAACTCCTGTTATTTTCAGGATCACTGACCACATATATATGTTAGGTGTCTTTACTATTTACTTATGTTGAAACGTAAAGCATTTCATAGAACATACTGTGTCTGATCACATCTTTATATTTGATGTATTTACTACTTACACTGAAATGTAAAGCATTTCATAGAACACGCTGTGTCCATAAATAGCCTACTGCTCAGCAAAATGCACAATTCCTGCTACAAAGGTCAGGGTTAGCATTATGGGTACTCAGGAAAAAAAATCTAATAAATGTGTTATTATTTCCACTGAGGTGCAAATTAAAATGCATATTTCCAAGGACAACAGGCAACCATATTTATTTCAGGAATATATATATATATATATATAAATGACGTTAAAGACACGGAATATATGTTGAAGATTAACCATGAAAGAATTCAAATGACTGTTTGAGCCATTTAGAGAGGGATGATCCTACAGAAATACTGGGATAAATGCTGATTAAAAATTTACAGTAACACTAGTAATGCGTGACATAGTAAAATATAGGAATAACCCATGGTTATGATGATAAGAGGATGGTTCACATTGCTAAACACAAACTGAAGCATATAAAATGCATAACTAGCTCATTCTTTTTTTGCAAACCAGACACTTCTAAAGATTTTCATTTAAAGTTGGGTGGTAACATTTAGCATAATGAACCGTTTAAAATAATAATAATAATAATAATACGAATGGATACATTTGACTGAATGGGTTACACAAATTGATTAAATTGTTAAGCGTCCGATCGAGTATCGTTTCGTAAGGAAAATACTTTTCACTTTTTGCACTATATATAACCCAACCATTTAAACTATAGGCTACATGACGAATATACAGGAACAGCTGTAGAAGAAAATAACCCTGCGGATAACAACTTAACCCTAAGGGGTCTAAGGGTTTTGGGGTGCATTTTTTTAACACCTAGTTAAAACATCCATATGATGTTAAGCTATTTTCCCTGCTATTTTGTGGCTGAAACATCTTGCGCACACTGACTCACCTTGTCTTTGATCGATTTCTTTTCCAGAAATCCTTCGTAATAGCATGTTGGAAGCTGAGATCTCACTCGTCTATAGCGATTTGGTGCTGCCATAAGTTATACTCCTGTCAACTTCAAACTTCTTAGAAAACAGTTTCAAGCGAAAGACGCTTCAATGTCCGCCTCAACGTCCGCGTTTAATGCGTTATTAAACTTTTAAATTCATACTAGAGCTCACGTGCTAAAGCTTTATAAAAAGTTAGTGCTGAACAGAAAGCTTGTGGCCTAGAAGTAACACAACTGCCGTCAAGTGCCTATTTGAAGAGATCATCCCCCACCCCTTACCTGAACACAGGTGAGTCAGGTGTGCTCGAGGAATGCCGGGAGGCACGAAAGTCCCGCCTATTGAGAAGAACCGTAAAGCTGGCTGCAGACAAATAACCACCCCGTAGGCATGGCACGTATGCTATAAGAAAGCATATGGGGGAATACCCGGTTTAAAGTAGGCTAATTTCGAAAAAGTCTTCCGGTAAATAAACGCTTTGATAACACCAATTTCACTTCCTTTTGATTTGAACAAGAAACGTTCAGAAGGTAGGCTATAATCGGTTACGGCTGGCTCTTCACTTTCTTGATTATATTGTTTAAAATAAATATAGTGTTAATAAATAACAATTTGTCCCTCGATATCTCTTTGCCGCCTTGAAATCTTCTCAGTCTCCTAAAGTGTAAATACGGCCGGGAAGTAAGAAAACACACATTCAAATGTATCCTCAATACTTCAATTTATTCATAGAAATACAGATATTATATAGGCATATGTCGAGGGGAGTTTCACCCTCTTAACCAATGAGGATAGGATGACATACACATATAGGATGTTTGGCCAAGAACATGTGTTTATATAAAATGGCCACATGTACAGAAAAACATGGACATATTAGACTTTTGCGAAGAATGCTGAACTGTCTTCAGAGTTCCTCACGAACTCCTTTACCCTTGTAGTCCTAACATTCATGTCCTTATTGGGGCATTTAAACCAAGAAAACTAATGTATACATTTGCGCATGCATACCTCGCATATGAGTAAGAGATATACTACAAGAGAGAGCAGAGAGGGAGAAAAAGGAAAGGAGGGGGAATAAGAGAGAGGGGAAAAAAGGAGGGGTGAGGCATATCTGGAACCTTAACAAGACAGAGTGTTTTCTAACATATAGTATGTGCTCATAGTATCTTTTTTTCTTAAACATTTCCGGTTTGGGCTGATGCTATGGTGATTTTGCTGTTGTGCTGATAATTTTCATGTGTTTACAGTTTTTCAATATGCAGTGTATTATTCCACGGCATATTGAAAAACTCAAAGAATGGCGACATCTAGCGGCCAGAATTAGACACCGCGTTCCATTCATTACCGTAAATCCTATCATATTTACGCATGTTCCCCATTCAAACCAACTGTTCTCTGCTGGGTCCCATTCGACTACTCATTTGACCGTGGTCCAGGGCCATTAGAACCTGTATCTAAACTGATATAAACACAAAAATGGCAAACAATGGCAGCCAATTTGCTTGTAATATTTCCGCGAATATGTCTTCCGTTGTAACAGCAATGCAAAACACCTCCACCCTCATCTCCTCAGGTGGTTGAGGAAGAAGCGGATGAAGAGGATGAGGAGTTGAGTGGGGCTGAAGATGCAGACCTTAGGGCCTCCTCTGGGAGGGGTTCCCTCTTGACCAGGAGAGGCATCACACTGAGAGTCCTCTTAAAGGATGGTCTTGTGGAGCCTGGAGACGGCGTTCTGTCCATACACTACCTGGTACTGTCCAGAAATAACATCATTAGGGCCATTACCACTTACATCTTCTATCATTAAGGAAATAAATGAAAATCTGTTCACCCAAAACTATTACATTTTAAAACATCACATAAAGAGTACAGTACTATAGTGTGTAATAAAAAAAACATAAAAATGGAATGTAATAGAAATATTTTTCAAATAATATTTTACATATAATGTAGATTTTTCACACTGTAAATTGTCTTTATGCATGAACATATATAGCTTTCTTTTAAATTTTAGGATGGGGGTCCCAACCACAAAGATAATCATATTTAGGGGCCCATCACATCTAAAAGATTAAAACAAAACCCCTGATCTAACAGAATGTCATAGCTAGGCGCCTTTCTTTTTTCCATAAAATGAAACTGAATAGTAACCATGATTGTCATTAGGGTAAATAATAATGCAAGAATTTTTATTTTTGGGTGAACTATGACTTTAAGACTCTTCTGGTCAGGTGTGAGGGCTCTGTCTGTCTTTCCACAGGGTAAAAAGTTTGTTGGAGATCTTTTGAATGATGGGAAGATTCGTTGGGTGGAGACTGGGCAGATCTTTAACTCTCCAAGCGCTTGGGCAACACATTGCAAGCGTCTGGTCCAAGAAGTCTGGCTGTGGCCTCGGTGCGCTACCGGGGACAGAAACTGGTCCAGTACAAAACCACCTGGCTACACAAATACCAGCCCAGTGTCGACATGGTGAGCAATGGAGGAAAACTGAAATAGACAAAAGAAAAGAATGAGGTTGCAAAATGTACATTTTAAAAGGTGATAAATTAGTTACAATAAATATAAACAATCATGGTGCAGCCAGCAATTTGTGTATGATTTGATTTGTTTACCTCAAAGTCTGGTAAGTGAAGGAGAAGATGATGAGACTCTTAAACATTTATTGACATTTTTTGCTGTTGATGCCAAAATAGTAGCTTGCTCTTATTTTCTTCCGCTTCGCAACGACCCAATGATTATGGCATCCCAGTGGCGGTAGAGGTCACATACGTGCAAGACAACTTCCTCACTACAGACGTGCTCAACGAGATGGTACGAGAACAACTAGCATGCTAAATGTATGCAACAATGTCTATCTTGGGAAAACAGGGATTTTAATCTCTTTTACAGTTCAGTGTGATTCGGAAATAGTAGTTTTTGAAGCGAATCACTCACCGGTTGTCTCTTCAGTTTCCTGCAGCTATAGATAACATCTCAGTCTAGATTAGATTAAACCAACGTCTAAATTACATCCTGTAGAATGAATTAGTATTATGTGTAAAGTCTTGTGAGAAGCTTAGACTGATGCGTCTTATTTTTATATGTGTGTAGATGCTGTTGGTGGAGTTTTACCGGTCTGCTCCTGACCTTGTGCCGTTCAGTCAGATGTGGAGTCCTAATACCTCAATACTCAACAAAGTCAAGGTCTGCCATAATTTCTCTGCTTCATACATACACATACAAACAAAATACAATATCAACTTCATGATATACAATTAACATCATTAAGAATATTCTTAAAGGTGAACTGTGTAATTCCAATACCACTAGTGTCAACAATGGGGACTGTCCAAACTCACATTCAAACCAATTTTGCCATGTCAGACTGGTCAGGATACCATGTTTTGATAGCATCAACTTCACAAAAATCGGACTTGTATCATTTCAGAAGGACTAAAGATTTTCCTTGACATTTTAATAAGAAATTACTGCTTTAGTCTGAAATAAAACCTCTAAATTGCATATGCACAGACTTAACTATGAAAGCTTCTTTTGCTACAGGATAAAAAAAATAAAAAGGTAATTGCAATTTCATTTCACAATTCATACTTTTTTCTTGCAGTTCTGAGACAAAGGTCATAATTGTGAGAATAGTGAGATGTAAGCTCAGAATTGCGAGATACAAATGCAGTGTAAATGCAAAAGTTTGAATTTAGAGAAAGTCATAATTGCTTTTTTTTATGTGGCAGAAACAAAACAAAAAAACATAATTGTGAGATGTACACTCATTTATAAACCTGCAACTGCAAGAAAAAAAGTTATCTTTACCTGTTATGCAGAGTTGGTGCCTTTAACAATAATCTCAAAGCAAAGCATGACTAAATGTCTGACTAGCAATGCTCATTTTCTCTCTTCCTCAGGCCTCTTTGAGTGGCCACGTACCCAAAGACCAGGCGTACACACAGATCCTCGAGCATGTGTACAACCAACTGCGCAACACACAGTGACCGGAGCAGTTGTGTTAAACTGTAGAACTGTCGACTTGGGACCTCCCACCCTGTGCATTACCGTCTGTGCACTGTTATACTGTATATGAAATGCCTTCATGGAGGATATATCAAATATGCTTCCGTCCAAACTGTTGCCTTTAGGACTGTTAGGTCTGTATCACTGGCTGTGGTTTATATGATTCTGCCATATCTGTGCTGTGAAACTTGTCTTCCTCTGTGGTAGAAACGTTTGGTGGGTAGTTAGGAAAGAGAAGAAGATGGGAAATTTGAGTTCTCTCTCTCTCTTTTGGCTAGTATTTATCTGTTTGTGTGGTTAGATTTGTGCCATGTTGACTACACAATATGGGAACAATGCCTTTTTCCTGCTGAATACCTTAAAATATACACTGGAACAAATGAAATGTGCCGATTCCATTTGCTTCTGGCTTCTAACCTCGTAACAATGTTTTTCTTACCATACAATTAAAGAAACAGATACAGATACCATACACAAGTAAAACAAATGGAGTACTTTCTTAAATTTATTTACTTGAAGACGAGTGGACACAATAAGATACAAATATTTAGGGTTTGGGATATTTAAGAATAACAATATAATGCAGTTAAATCTGAAACATACAAGAGGAGACTTTAAAACTACAACATACATCAGCCTGCTATTAAACTAACATGCAAAAATCATTAATAAAAAGGTTGAATGGTTTTGTATGCATATAAAAAATATATATAATACTAAAAAGAGCAGTACCAGAATGATTTTCTTTTATGAAAATCATTCTGGTACCCTCATTCGATTAGACCGAAATAACCCATTTGTTGTTTTCTTAAAAGTTGTAGTGTTGCAAAGGCACATCTGTACACATGCTTGTACATCTGGCCACAGCTCATGCCAAATACTGAAACCAACAAGCCCTTTGTAAACAAAGAAAAAGGACAGACAAAAACTACATATTAGCTCGAAAATCATAATTAATATTTTGTTTGGTTTTCTAGATCCATTCTTGCCATTGAAAAGGCACTAAAACTCTTTTTTCACATTGAAACAGTGATCGTAGCCTGTCTGCTTCAGCACATCTACAACGGTCTGTTACGGTGAGCAAAACAAACCGTGGACAAGACATGTAAACCGATGTTGAGAGGAAAAGGACACAGAGGTGCTCTATCCAGACCGGACTTGGAGTCGGGGTGGATGGCGTGTAGGTCCATGCTTTTATGGAGTGTGATGGTTCAGTATTTGAAAAAACATCCTAAAAACAATGAGTAATGAAGAAAATAGATCTTCAACCACTTTTAAAGCTCTAAAAATACATTGCCAATGATGGGGGAGAGCAAGATATGAAGCACCATCCCTTCATTTCTGAAGATGGGGAGATTTATTTTTTTAATGTCAAAATATTCTGTGTTAATTAGACTTTAATATGGGGCTTATGAGCCAACATCCACCCTAAACACGCCCACATATACACACCTGAAATAATGGGACACTGCCAGCAGCATCAGATGTAGAGACTACCATAAACTGACATCAAAAGAGGAGAAAGAGAGAGGAAGACTCTATTATTCAGGCTGCTGGAAGAAGGCATTTCCATTTAAAGAACTATTTGGCTGTGTTTCCTTCAGAAAAGTGTGTAAATGGTTTGTCTGCCACCCTTCGTGAGTTAGAAGTTGTAAGGGGGGCGCAAAGTGTTTCAAAACAGTTGTAGTGCAGTAAAACCCTCTCTACCTGATGCAACACATCCCTTAGGTGTTTTAGCTCACCTTTACGACATAATGCAAGGTGCAATTCAGCATCTAATTTCTATTATCTTGTAAAAAATATACATGAAAAAAATATTAGTTGACAAATAGCTATAGAAAAATTTTAAAATAATGGAGCGTACAAAAGGACAAATTCCTCTCTACAGGTCTGTGGCTCAGGATTGCTGCACACTGGGACACTGTACGCACAGTCCCACGGTGCTCATCACAGATACAAGGCAGTTTCACCTTAATCTGAGGAAGGTCAATGTTGCAGCCTGACCAGCAGGGGCAGTAAGGGGACCAGTCGAGTCAAAACGCAATTTTTCCCAATCCAACAATTGAGAATTTGTACTGATTATGAATAGCCTGTCTACTCTTTAAAAGCATGATAATTTTATCACAGGGACATCATAGTCTGTAGTCATTTCTTTTCAGTTAATGCAGCACAAACAGTATGAGACATTATTAAAAGACCTGGACAAAGAAGCGAGTTAGTGGGTCTGAAATTTTAGATTAAGCACCAGGTTATACCGTCCATATGTCAGTCAACTGGTCAGTCAGTCAGTCCTGGAATGTGAAAGGTCATCATTTCCCAAAGTTCCGTCCTTCAAAAAATAAATCAATGTGTAAAAGTGCCAGAGTACAGGTACATTTGGATCAACGGCAACAATGTGGTGAGGATGAAGACCAAGATGACTTCAACTGGTTCCTTTCTCCCTCCCTCACTTCCCTCCAGCTTTCTCCCTTTCACTTTTTTATCGCTCTTTCTCTCTCTCCCCCTCTTTTCCTCAACGAAGACCTCTTAGTGTGGCAGAGGAACGATTACCTCCACGTAGTTGAGAGGGAAGAATCCGGATTGGCCACGCAGCATGCCTTCATACCAGTTTTCATCGATCTGATTGGTCAGAGTGATGATGTCACCCTCGTGGAAGCCCAATTCACCTTGGTTCTCCGGATCGAAGTCATAGAGCGCTTTACAGCACGGCTGCTCAGCTGCTAAAAGGCGAGACGGAGAGATTTAATGAGAATGGGATATTAAGTAGAGATTTTGGGAATAAGGGATGTTAGTAAAAACTGAAAAGGAAATATATTGTTGGCACTTATAACAGTAATTTAACTATAACATCCTCATGGGTCAGATAATATAAGTATTTTAAAGACATTTGGTTCTTGTCTGGAGAATTTTTTTAAAATTAAATGACATTTCTAAAGACAAAAAAAAAAAACGTATTAAACCAATATCTGACATTCTCGAGAAACAAATAAGATAAGGTTTAGAGTCCTAAAGTAATTATATGTCACATTCAGGTTGTGTATACACACCCAAAATTAATTGTAGAAATATTAATTTGACCCTTTTTGAAAAAGACAAAAATAATTCATTTTTTAAATATTTTCTCATTTCTATTTTGGATTTTTTTTTTTTAAATAAAATAACATTATGAGATTAATTTAAAATGAAATGCACTAAAGAACCAATAAAATGCTTTCTAAACATTTTAATACTTCATAGCAGTATTGGTATTGTTAACAAAAATATAAAAATTGTTTTCGGTAACAAATACATTTGAAATAATACCTAAATATCAGATGAAACCTTAAATTAAACAAAAATCAGAAATGTTGCCATGGCAACTGACTGAAATAGATGTTTAAGTTGAAATACTTAAATTACTAAAACTAAAATTAAGCTATATAGAAATTATAGATACATAATAGACAAAAGCACACAATAAAATTACTAAAATTAAAATGAAAACTGAAAATGTACAAATAAAAGTTCAAATTAAAAAAACAACAACATAGTAATATTGAAATTATACTAAAATAAGAGTGTTTCATAGCAGTAGATTAAAATGTTAACCTTTCCCAGACCAGTCTGACAAACCAAAGTCATGGAGTGCCATACGTGTTAGTGTTTAACACACAGTTTTAATCCCACTACAACCATCTGGGTTAGAATGAGGTTCTCTCTGTTAGTGAGGGGTCGGGTGCCAAAGCCTGGGTCTGTGGTCATGTGACAGAAGACCTCCAGTTTCAGTCTGTAGCAGGGGATCACTCTGTTAGGTGGAGCAGCACTCTGTGCTTGAGGCCAACACACAAGCGCACATTTACACACACACACACACACACACACACACACACACACACACACACACACACACACACAGAGATACTCGTACAGGCTTCTTCTCTTACATACATATGCATCAAGCACACATACCCCCCAACAAAACACTATGTAACCTGTAGTTTGCTGTAGGTCAGTGCAATAAACTACCATTTAATGAAGAGCTGAACTTTTCATGAACTTTGCACTTCCCTTCATAAAATCACAAAAAGCACATTTTTGTAACCGTTTCATAACTTCCCCCACATTCTTATTCAGTTCTCCTCCACATAAAAATATCAGCGATGTACAATACGATAAGCCCATAATTATTTTATGGCTGATAAATGGCCCATATATATTTTAATTTTATAAAGTCTTGTCTACAGAAAATTTTAAAATTAATCACAAGTTAATCGCATACAACAATTTAATGTACAGTATGGAAAATGGGCATTCATAGCTAATGGTTACATTGAACAATGTTATTAAATTATCTTTAAATAAGCATTAAATGAGGGAAATCTAAGTCTACAAACACTGGACATGAGAATACACAATTAAATATCCAAAATCTGGTAAAATATAATGATTATACACCTAGAAAATGTGCCGTTTTGCACATTCCTACTTCCTTTACTTTCTTGCACCTTCCCAATATCTTCCCCCCAAGCTTTTCCTCCACCCCAACACACATAAACACACAAACATTCCCAAGCATTCCCACTCTCTGACTCACGCAATCTGGGTTTCCATGTGGATATTCTGCCAAACTGGCGGTATGGCTCTGATGACGTAATGGGAAGAGAACACAGAACAGGGTCACTGGCTGACAGCTGTCCATTTGTCTTGCCTATCCCGCCACATGTACAGGCAGTCTCATCACACCCTGCCACCGTGCCGCACAATGTGCCTTTCTCTCACTAGTCTCGAGTCCAAGGCATTTCCTCAAATGTAATGAAGATCATCTATCCTCATCCAGGAACAGCTAAATTGGTAAAATGGGTATTTTATGACCATGTTAAGCAGGTAAAGTGTCTGGTCTTACCTGCATTGCGCATGGGTGGAGCAGATGTTGGGGTTAAGCCACCGTTTGACTGTTCGTTTGTGTCTCCAAAGTCAATTACAGGCTTGGGCTTGGGCACATACTCTTTACGAGGACGTGACTGAGCTTCTTTCATCCTGGTTGGTTAAACAAGAGTCATTTATTGCTTCTTTCGACAGAATAAAGAACAAACACATATGCTTTGCAAAGACAGATGTGCCCACATACACACCTATCTCTGAGTTTTTCAGAGAGCTCATCCAGGACCTGAACAGCCTGCCTGTGGTACTGCAGTTGAGACTCAACCAGTGACGACAGCTGGCTCACCTGCTCAATCTGCACAGGAACACACACACATTAAATACAGTGTTTCCCACAGACTTACACTATGTGTGGCGGCACTACCCCCAGGGGAAATATATAAAACAGCATATGGTCTTATTGAAAATGCAAATTCATTTTATGCCAGCAGGAGGCGCTTTTGGAGTGGCAGAAATAGCGGTTTCCCCGGTAATGGCTATACACAAAGCAGTGCTTGCGCTCATGAACGCTACTTAAGCATTATAGGAAAGATGAAATGAAAATGGCATCGAATCCTTTCTGAAGTAAAAGTTTTTTGGAAAATCTATTTGTGGCAGACAGTTTTGATATTGTGGCAGGCCACCACAAATAAATTAATGAATGGGAAACACTGAAATATATAAAGATGTATTTACTTTTCACTCATGCACATCCACGATTATGGTAACACTGGGAAAGCACAAAAACATTCCTCGTCGGCCAATCGGCACAGGACTACGAGAACCAGACAAGTCCACAATCTGATGTGCGATGAACTTGCAGCCCGGAATTAAACCACGCCACGCTGGTTTCATCTGGCCAGAGGAGAACTGGCCCCCCGACTGAACCTGGTTTCTCCCAAGGTTTTTTTCTCCATTTGTCACCAATGCAGTTTTGGTTCCTTGCCACTGTCGCCTTTGGCTTGCTTTATTATCCCATTAAGGGATACAATTTCTGGCAGCTATCGGAAGAGGGAAGTCTTGGGAACTTGGGAAGTCGTGGCCTAATGGTTAGAGAGTCGGACTCATAACCCAAAGGTTGTGGGTTCGAGTCTCGTACCGGCAGGGATTGTAGGTGGGGGGAGTGAATGTACAGCGCTCTCTTCCACCTTCAATACCACGACTGAGGTGCCCTTGAGCAAGGCACCGAACCCCAACTGCTCCCCGGGCGCCGCAGCATAAATGGCTGCCCACTGCTCCGGGTGTGTGTTCACGGTGTGTGTGGGTTCACTGCTGTGTGTGTGCACTTTGGATGGGTAAATGCAGAGCACTAATTCCGAGTATACTTGGCCACACCTCACTTCACAAGAGAACTGAACTGAGCTGGACGATGACATCACTGAATCAACAATGAACTGACTTTAATTGATAAATTGACTGTTTTCTATTTTCCTCATGCATCATCAGCACATATTTTTTTCTGTTTAACACTGTAAAGCTGCTTTGACACAATCTATATTGTATAAAGTGCTATATAAATAAAGGTGACTTGACATTCATAAGCAAATAGCCTAGTTAATGAGTAATTCCTGAGGCCTTGAGTTCACATGGGTCTCACTCGACTGCTGAATCTAGACTGGAAGCTCCGCTAGCTGTTACTAACTAAATGTTTACTGTAGTTTAAAGCTGTAACATACTGTCGTCAGTGTATTACTTTACATCTAGCACTTGATGACTTTAAAATAGTCTTTTTCCATAGACTCCACCAGCAGATATTTATTCCCTCATCAAGTTATTGTCCTTTTCAACCAATAGATGGCGCTCTAACATCTCCATTAAAACATCAGATAAAAGCTACAGCCAAGAAGCAAGAGGATTTTTATCCTTTTGGCTGCACTACAGCTTTATTGGATTACCTGTCTTGACCCCAGTTATGGGCTAGAGTCAAAAAAGGACGGAAACATTTTCATCTTCAATAACTGCTAATTCTAAATTGACAGTCTTTGCAAGTTCTTAAGATAGAGATAGTTGGTACAAAATCAGTAAGGCAAGGTGTTCCAGATAAACATTGAATTATTCAGTACTGCTAATAGGATTAGCACAACCCCCCAGGAAACAAAAGCACAAAAGCACAAAAACACACCAAATGGAGCATCAAGCTGTCAGATGGTAAATCCTTACATCAGTTTCCAGAAGATTGTACATGCTGATCTCAGCCACCTCCTTAGATTCATGGAACTTCTCCAGAGCCTGCCTGACCTCTTCATCTGGAATTTTCCCCTGACGCTTCTTCTTATAGTCATAATCCAGCCTGCGTCCTTCAAGCTTTTTCAAATGGTGCTGAGAAAGAGGGAAACTCAACATTTCAATACTACCGGTGTGGAACAGACCACATGAAACATAGTTAAGGAAATAAACTCTAAATATAAAATCCATTCTTCAAGAAGGAAAAGGAGGACTTTATGGTACAAAGGATAGTACTCTTCAACTCATCATTAAATAAAAACAAACTGCAGATATTTAATTCTTGTAAACGGTTTGGCATATTTTATCGGCACCTTCAGGGAAAAAATGTGCATAAATTGCATCTTTAGGGTACAACAGCTTATCACTGAGGCCGTACCCCTTGAAGGGACATCTTTGTACCTTATCTACCACTGAAAGGTACATATTAGTACCTTATTGGAGTTATATGTACCCTTAAGGTACTACTATGAACCTTACTCTAAGAGTACTGCCCCAATGACAAGCTGTTGTACCCCTAAAGGGTACAACAGGGTACAAGGGTACCCCCATTTTTGCTAATTTTTTCTTAGAATGAGGGTATCATATAAAAATTATACAGGTATCTTTAAATTATATATGTGTGTGAGACAGACAGAGAATGTAAGCAAACCTGTATTTCTCTCAAGTCCTTGTCAGCCAGGCCTTGTAAAGGGTCGATGAAATTCTGTTTGACATCAATGTCCAATGAATCCTTCACCTCTGCTAGTCTCTTCATACTTTCACCAACATCAACTAGAGCACCACCTACAGACACATATGTGGTTGTTTTGTACATTTGGTTAGTGGGAGAATTACAAACAAAATCTCTTGAGTATTTAAAAGCTGCACTCATTTTCTAAACCCACCAAAGTTTGTGTCCTCTCCGAGTTCTCTGCCAAACTTTGCCATGCATTCTCCCAGCAGCCCCTCTGCCTGTGGATAACCTGGACTCTTCACCTGCCCTCTAATCTTAGACATGGTGTTCAACATGGAGAGCTTTGCACGAGATGCTGTGTGAAAGGAACAGAAGGAAAAAGATATTTTACAGTAATGATCAATAACGTTTATTGTGAGCATCTGTTTTGCCAGAAAAAAGTATACATGTATTTAATGCAAAAGCTTTGCTCATGCATACAGCTGAACACACAGTCTTTCAAAGCATACTCCATTTGATAGTGTACGTGAACACAGGCGCTTAACACATGCATGCTACAAAGTTTCATCCTTGTTAAGTGCATGTGCTATATCTCTCCAGAAGTTATCATCGATAAAATGTCTCTGTACTCATTTAAACTATAGTTGCAGGTATCTTTTAATCCCCTTAAACAAGCACTCGTCAACATTGGCATCTATTGTTGTTGCTGTTTACAGCAGTTTCCCTGCATCTGAATATGCCTACATTCATACTATATGGTAGCTGAAAAACGGTAAGTGAGCTGAGTAATAGGTCCAAATTCACAGTAGGCAAAAAGTTCCTGGATGATTTAAGACTAGGGTTGCCAACTGTCCCGTATTAGCCGGGACGTCCCGTATATTGGGCTTAATTGATGTGTCCTGTATGTGACCTCCCTTGTCCCGTTTCCCAATTCAACTGGCGGGCTTAAGGACTATAATGTATGCAAATCTTAAACAGGCACAAAGATAAAATAAAAGTTCCAGGAGTGTTTTTGGTCTTACCCGGATTAGGCTGCAGGTACTCTGATGTTTTAGAGATGACTTCTATCACAGCTTTATTTGTCACATCTACTTTCTATAGAAACACAGAGGGGAAGTCACACACTAACCAAAACACAATAATATAACAAAATGTCTTTGTAATAACATTAGTATCACCTTCCAGATGAGGCATATTTTGCAATAATGACCAGCAGACTACACTTTTCACTTCCAATCCATATAATTATTCTACTGAATATCCCTACATAAGATCTATCACAACACTGCTCTTTATTTCATCTTTTTTTGCTAGTATTCTACGAAACCATTTACTAAAATAATTACAACGGACCTGAATGAAGTGGCAATATCAAATCTGTGAAGTCTTTCATGTTTAGTATTAGTTGAATGTATATCGAGCAGTGTTTTCAAGAGACCGAATGACATCTCTATGGTATAGAGGACAGGATTATTAAATAAATACAAAATAATTCTAAGACACTGCAGTGATTAAACATTTCAGATAATTATAAAAACAGACAATCCTGGATCACTTAAGCCACACCAATTTCACTCTGTAAGTGAAAGAAACTTTCCAGAAAAACACAGGTGGTGTAGAAAATCTTACTGATGGATGTGTGGGACAGAGGTCAAGCCTTTGAATTACTTAATGTGTTTAAAACAATGTTTTTAGAAATGTCTGTTGGCTGCAGTGTGGGAAAATACTCTCCACTTACTCTCTCGAGGTCCTTGAACTCCTCATCCAGTTTAGTTCCTTCAGCACCACCAACCTTCTCGCTCACCATCTGACACAGACAGAGAAAGAAGCCATTTTAATCCAGTATAATGACTGTATTAAAATGACAGTAAAATATGATAAATGTAACTAAATTACATAAGGTTGTACTGATCATAACACAAAATCAAACCAAGACACAAAACAGATAGTGTGACCAGTTCAATTCAATTCATGAACAAATAACTCTCAAATGAGCTATCTAAATCTGTCAGGGTGGTTAGTGACTAACTTATAACAGATATTTAGGTCAAAAATAATTTTGTGTTAAGGTTCTTGAAACCTACATCGGAATCATTACTCACTGGAGTTTCATATGACACTGTGTAATCAAAGTTTGTGCAAAGTGTAATGACATGTTAATAAAAAAGAAATATTAAAACATATAAAAACACTGCAAGTCTGACTGAAAAAAAAACTAGTCTGATTCTATATCTAAAACTGATTTAAAAATACAATATGATTCAACCAGTTCCCTTTTAGAACTGTCAGTGATTATATTATTCATTGACAACCTCCCTGAATGTCAGGCAGAGAAAACACTAATAATGTTATGTAAAAGAAAAACTGTGTGGTGTAAGAGGCTAATTTTTCATGTCTAAACCACACATAAAAGGAAGGATAGCAGCAGTTTTGACTCACAAAGGGCCCAAGGCAAGATCAAACATGACGCGCACCAAAATTTGCCTTAGGATCTTTGTGACAGACTTTTATACATTTACACTTTTCCTCCACCTCTAGATTCCTCTCCAGTCTCCACCATATATATAAACTGTAAAGAAAATAGCTATCTTTCACAAGGCATTCATTTTAGCACTGCACACATGTAAATCCAATTAGCCCTCCCCTCACCGCAATTCCAATTGTGCTCACTTAGGAGGGACTATTTTTCCCCTCTGTATTTCCATAGCGTTCATTCTTAAAACTTTGACTGGCTCCAATAAGACAATTTCTTCTTAGTAAATCAAAGTGAATATTATACAGCACATCATGCATTACTTGACTACATCAAGACTAAACTTTATTCAAGTGACAACAAAAAAAAGCTCTGTGTGAGAACCTGTGTCTGCCACAACAGTTGTTGTTCTCAGGACTCAGGACACATGCTCGTCCCACTTCTCTTAATGTCATGAACATGCAATAGACAACCAAAGACAGTGACCATGCAACTGTTGAAACAAAGCCACATGTCAAGTCTCAATCCACACCAACATATGTTATTCGTTTCATTGGTTTTTTTTCACCCTAACTGAAGGAAGCGTATATTTCAACATGGAAAGCGCTGGATGTTTGTCAAATCACGTCATAAGAACATTAATCACAAACACATGTAATTTTATGGTGGTAACTTGCAACGTTAAGAAGTTCATTTTGTGTTTTTGCTGTTTCTATGACTGTGTTAAAGATTATTTATCTATAACCAGTAACCACCTGGTTCCGTGAATTTTTCTCCTACTTTATGCTGTAGGCGTTTTCTACGGTCTACTCAAACTGTAAACATCCAGGACTAGTTTGTGAACAACACAATCCAACTGATCTTTTAAATCTGTCCAAAGTTTAAAAATACTTTTTCTTAAAACATTTTAAAATCCATTAAGGGAGGTTCTTGCAACATCTGCTGTATAGATTACAAAGACATCTCTTGCTACTAGGTTTAAAAAAAAAAAAGCATTGCAATCCAAATTATTTAAACTAGGGCTGGCTATTTAATTAATTACATGATATGCCAATTAATTAAAATCACAATTATTTGCATAATATTTATTGACTAAAGCCACCAAATTAAGATAATTCAAAGACATAACATTGTGGCAGACAAAAGCAGTGAACAGATATAACAAACAGTGTCTTTAGAGATCAATAAAGTGAATGTAAGCGTTTCACTGACTGTCCATAGCAATCCGTTTTGCAATGGAGTTTGTCAATATGTCTGTGGCAGCCTTTCATACAGAATTCTTATAATTAAAATATTTTGAATTGTTAGTGTAATGTACATAAGCAAATCTATGTCATATAAATAAATAAAAAATCACAATAAATAATGTGTTACCACCATGCACAAAACTATCCCTAAACAACTTACAATTGCATCAAGATGAATAAGAATGAAGTTGTTATTTGAATGAATGAATGAACGCTCCATTACAATCGTAGCTGTGTTTGACATTTGTGCAAGATTTGCATAATATCGCCCAAATGTTCACACAAAGAAAGAAGGCGTAACTTTTAATCTTGCTGTAGTATTGTCGCTGCCGCCTCCATGTTGTGCAGGCGCTGTGTTATTAGTTGTGAAAGCAAAACTACTTTGTTTGGCCTTCCAAAAGAGGACGATATTGCTTCATCATGCCTGGAGCTGATCCGTGCTGGTCGCTGAGGAAATACAACAACTTTGCGCTGTGGATCGCCGGATCGGCTTTCACCGTGGATGAAGCGGAGTCCAGCCCGGGGTCGTCACATGTGGTTGCCGCAAGCCCTCTGGACGCTCCTTCGTCGAATCCGCCGGCTGCGCTGTTCTGGCCATTCACATGTCGCGCCTAAAAACGCGTGGAAAACGCTAGGCGTGCCGCTTCTGCTTTTTTCCAAAGCGTTCGGGCGCTTGCGCTCCAGAGGCGTCTGCGGTTGCTAAGCAACCATGACCTGCGCTGTCCATGAAGACGCGGAAGTTTCAGCAGTGTAAATGGATTTGCAGCACTAAAAATCGCTAGCAGTAGCTCTACTACTAAATTTATTTAAAAATGGCTATCCCTGTACAGCTATGATCAGCTGTTCCTTCATCTTGGCTGAGCTTTCAATGTTGTTACGGGAAAGGATGAAGCTGATTGGTTGGTTCTTGTCACATGACCCGCAGTGCGCTTGCGGCATTCTGAAAAGTTGAAATGTGTTTATCTCGATGCGGCGTGGTCGCGCCTGAAAAAACGCTTCCATTATGAGCGTGCCTGCCGCGCGTCTACATTTGAAATAACGAACTTGAGCGCGCAAAAGACGCGATATGTGAAAGGCCCCTAAGTCATTATAATCCATAATTATGTCCCCACTGGATGCAACGAATGCCTTGTTTACAATGGGTTTTCATGTTTTTGAATCATCGCTCCGGCCTGACAGGGCATCATCACAGTATGATAGGGGCGTAACATTTCAGCCACACGCCTGAGGTATTCAGCCAATCACAACGCACTGGATAGCTGGCCAATCACAGCACACCTTGCTTTTCAGACTGATGAGCTTTGTAAAAATCGACACGTTTCAGAAAGGAGGGGCATAGAGGAGAAACAATAATGTACATTATGTGGAAAATAATGTGTTTTTTTAACCTTAAACCGCATAAACATTGCATTAGACCAAATAATGTTCTTTTTAGCAACATCATGAGACCCCTTTAATAAATTTTAAAATGTAATTTATTCCTGTGATGGTAAATCTAAATTTTTTCAGCAGCCATTACTCTATATTTTTCAGCGTCACATAATCCTGCAGCAATCATTTTAATATGCTGATGTGGTGCTTATGAATTATTTCTTATTATTACCAACACTGAAAACAGTTGTGTGAATTAACGTTTTTGTGGAAATCATGACATTTTTTCTTTGATGAATAGAATGTTCAAAAGAACATTTTTTAATAACAAATAAAACTGATCATTAATAACAACTGTGTAAAAGTCAGTACTGTCACTTTTGATCAGTTTAATGCATCTTTGCATTAACTTATTAATAAAAAATAAAATAATCAACAAGCTACATCTGATGCATATTACAGAAAAAAAAAATTCAGATGTGTGCAGCACATTTTACGGAGGACTGCTTCCTGATCCTGGTAGAGTAGACTACAATGCCGGCTGTTCTGACTCACAGACTGTAGGTAAGTTTTTTTTATATTTAAAGAATTTGCCACTGATGATTCAAACACGAGTTTTGAGCAGTGTAGAGTAGGGCTTGTTGTTTGTAATTTCTCCGATCACAAATGCAGACATGGTTTTATGTTTACGCGGCGCGATGCAACGCAACGCGTAAAAAGACAGTATAAGGGGCCATTCACATGTCGCGCCTAAAAACGCGTGGAAAACGCTAGGCGTGCCGCTTCTGCTTTTTTCCAAAGCGTTCGGGCGCTTGCGCTCCAGAGGCGTCTGCGGTTGCTAAGCAACCATGACCTGCGCTGTCCATGAAGACGCGGAAGTTTCAGCAGTGTAAATGGATTTGCAGCACTAAAAATCGCTAGCAGTAGCTCTACTACTAAATTTATTTAAAAATGGCTATCCCTGTACAGCTATGATCAGCTGTTCCTTCATCTTGGCTGAGCTTTCAATGTTGTTACGGGAAAGGATGAAGCTGATTGGTTGGTTCTTGTCACATGACCCGCAGTGCGCTTGCGGCATTCTGAAAAGTTGAAATGTGTTTATCTCGATGCGGCGTGGTCGCGCCTGAAAAAACGCTTCCATTATGAGCGTGCCTGCCGCGCGTCTACATTTGAAATAACGAACTTGAGCGCGCAAAAGACGCGATATGTGAAAGGCCCCTAAGTCATTATAATCCATAATTATGTCCCCACTGGATGCAACGAATGCCTTGTTTACAATGGGTTTTCATGTTTTTGAATCATCGCTCCGGCCTGACAGGGCATCATCACAGTATGATAGGGGCGTAACATTTCAGCCACACGCCTGAGGTATTCAGCCAATCACAACGCACTGGATAGCTGGCCAATCACAGCACACCTTGCTTTTCAGACTGATGAGCTTTGTAAAAATCGACACGTTTCAGAAAGGAGGGGCATAGAGGAGAAACAATAATGTACATTATGTGGAAAATAATGTGTTTTTTTAACCTTAAACCGCATAAACATTGCATTAGACCAAATAATGTTCTTTTTAGCAACATCATGAGACCCCTTTAATAAATTTTAAAATGTAATTTATTCCTGTGATGGTAAATCTAAATTTTTTCAGCAGCCATTACTCTATATTTTTCAGCGTCACATAATCCTGCAGCAATCATTTTAATATGCTGATGTGGTGCTTATGAATTATTTCTTATTATTACCAACACTGAAAACAGTTGTGTGAATTAACGTTTTTGTGGAAATCATGACATTTTTTCTTTGATGAATAGAATGTTCAAAAGAACATTTTTTAATAACAAATAAAACTGATCATTAATAACAACTGTGTAAAAGTCAGTACTGTCACTTTTGATCAGTTTAATGCATCTTTGCATTAACTTATTAATAAAAAATAAAATAATCAACAAGCTACATCTGATGCATATTACAGAAAAAAAAAATGCTAAAAGAAATCCAGAGAGACACCAAAAGGCCATTTGTTGAAACTGTACAGCTCAGACAGCGTGCAACATGATTACTTATATTTATGAGTGAAAGAGGTCTTATCAGCAGCTAAGGAGATAACACAGAGGCTTGGCTCTGACACACACTCTTGATAAAGTATGCAAAGTACTTCTAACTTTGACACAAATATGCATACACACAAACAGCCAGCCACGTAGCCAAAGCAGACCCAGCAGGAGAAGAGTGATACCAAGAACAGACTCCATAGATAATACTGTGCTTGTGAATCTAATGAAGAGAAGAGTGCATGACTGTGATTCAACTGCCACAGAGACAACACAGGAATTTCAGAACAATACAACTTACGCAATCCCCACACAACAAAATGTCAAGCAAATGTGTTACTAGGTAGACACTAGGGCTGTGTATCACTAGCAAAGTCACGATACGATACGTATCACGATACAGAGGCCACGATACGATACATGACTGTACTGAATTTCACCTCAGCAGAATTGAGAAAAACAGCTGTTTATTAAACACTGCTTACTATAGTGCCATTTCTAACTATTGGCAGAGCAGTCAGTTGACCTCTGCATTATGAAGGGCCTCCATAACTGTACCACAGTACAATATTGGTAATGGCATGTGTTTCATGTTTACATTGTGCACTCCCCAAGGTACAATATTCTGATTGTTTGTATCTTTTTTTAAGCCCATAAATAATTCAGTTTGAGTGCAGTGTAGAGAGTAACACGCCCCTCCCCCTCCTGTTGGTGTGAGCGAGCGGTCAGTCACGTGTGTGTATGACGGCCGAACTTAAGGAGCTGCCCCTGGAATTTACGCGATCGGCAACCAGACGTTTTTTGTCTTATTGCAACTCGTTTCTGTTCTGGACTTGCACAAACTGCGTTGCAATGCAATCATTTTCCAAAATGTAATTTTTGTGAAAATATGAAGTCTGTAAACGCCCGTTAACAGAGGCCAGAGACCCTGAAGACGGACGCACAGAGAAAAATACTGTAGCAGGCAGATCACTCACTGTTCATGATGCACGAACTATTGGAAGAAAATCTTCAATATTGATTTGGGGGTTTATATGAATGTGTTTCTTGTAATTTTCATATATTAGCCAAGTTAAGCCTTTTAGAACCCTGTCCCTGTGCAGCACTCACTGCAGCAAGCACGCCAGACTCTACCACAAAAAGGCTATGCTGTGGTAAGATGTGTTATCCATCACATGTCAGTCATTCTAATTTGTACGATTTTATATTGTTCTAACAATTACCATTTGCAAACAAGGCTGGAGAATGCCAGAGCATAAAAGCACTGTTTCTGCTCAGAAAAAAAGCTAACTGAAAAACATTCCCTGGTGTGTACATTAAAAAAAAGCAACCACACAGTATCTCAAACAGTTCTCCGGACAGCACACTGAGAGGAAGGCTGGACTGAGGGTGTGACTGGTCTCAGAGTTTGTCTTTTGGCAGGGTGTCCGGCCTGTGTTAAGTATTGATTACTGTGGAATGCTGTCATGAGTTTGCTGCAGCACTGCAGTCCAATAAAAAGAGCCAGGCAGAGCAGGAGAGAGCACAGCAAGCAACCCCACTTAGTGTTGCATGATTCATACTCCGCCTCTCAGGCCCAAACGTTGGCCATTTTCCTTTGCCCTGCTCTACTCTCCCACTCGTGTAAACCCCCCACTGGGGATCTGAGTATGTTCCTAACAGGAAACTGGGCAACAGATTGTCCCTTCCTGCTGAGATCAGCGAACAGGAACAGAGATGTGCTGCTTCCCCTACATCTGTGCTCATGTGCCCTTTGGAAAACACTACCACTGGCAACGAGAAACTAACAAATTGACAAAAAACAAGTCTTGAGTTAATTACACCATAAACCATTGACAAAGAACCTTCTCACAACAACACCACCACAACAACGCAAGAGCAGCCAAAATCAGCGAGAGGTTTGCATGGCAACACATTTGATTGTCTTCACAGGTCAAAGTGAGACTTTTGGCACATTTTAAGCCAACACATTGCCTGCTGCGAGCCCACAAACATGCATCATTCTGTTTCACTTTTACCATGTTAATATGACAATATTCAACTAAACTAGATGGATATAATTTTGTTTAGATATAACTAGCCAGAAAAACTCTTTCTCCAAAGATCTGCTGATACTGAGTTAATGCTGTTATGAAGTACACTTTCATGCTCTCATCAGATGCATTAAATATATTGCTTAATATAATAAACTCACAATTGGAAACCAAATTAGTCAGTTTTCTTTTACCATAATATGACAATTACATGACAATAGAAGCAAACTTTTCACTACTTTGATCAAGAGCATACTAACGTTTAACATGACAAAAAATATATTTAAAATATTTCAGGTGTTTCTCCATTCTTTTCTCGCTATAATCAAAGTATTAATCAAAATGTGTTCTTGCAACTAATTTCATAGTTTATGTTTTCTGTGTTTTCACTTTCTATCCTGTTAGTCTTTTGTAAGATCTCATTATTTCAGAAACACCAGTGATCAATTCTGTGATGTTTTGTGGTATTAGTTGCTTTGCCTAAATCCTTTGGACAAAATTACAGAGATTGGTGTAATAGTATTTGAACTTTAAATTCATCACTGAGCAAAGATAAATTACAGCTTTTTATTTTCATCCTGGTAGGAATTTTCATGTTCCCTGTTTTTCATATTCATATTCTGGCCATTGTGTAAATAATAAGGCTTCTTTAACCAAAGTTACATGACTGACTTTTGCTCATTTTGAAAACGAAAGCCAGTGCTGTAAGCCACATTTTTCAACTACATATTGCCAGCATAAAGTGTGAACCATAGAAACAAGAGACACAAACAAAACGTGTTTGTCCAACAGATGCATTGAAGGAAACTGCGGTAACTTAATGCTGCAGTATATTATTTGTATGCAGAATTTTCATTTATATACAGTATGCTTATACTAATTGACGAGTAGATCATGAGCATATGCTCGTTCATTTTACTGCAGTAAACGTGGCAAATGAAGTGATATAGTAAGGACGTGGGCGCTGTATTGCAATACCAAGCTAAAAGAAAACAGACACTCTTATGCATATTTATAACACATTGTAACCTATAATTAGGTGTGAACGCACCCAAAAAAGTGATGCTTACTATTTATGACCAGTGAAAGCTGTCAAAATAATAAATATGGCAACGACTGCAAGTTAGGACAAGACCGACAATAAATACATAAAGCAAGCAGTTTATAACTCTACAGGGATATGACAGCTAAACAACAGCACGGTTTATCATCGTAAATATTCTGAAAGAGTTAAATACAGATAGAAGACACAACATAGTTTTAAAGTGCAGAATAGCGGACTGAAGTTTAGCGCAGCGTTAGCAGGCTAAGCTAATTGGCACAGCACTGCGGTTCAATGGAAGAAAACAACAGCAAAAAAAGTAACTCGCAAACCTGGCTAGCTTTGTAAAACTGTTTCTTTAAGCCCGCCACGGACATCTTCAAAGCGTAATCCTCGTTTCTGACGAAAAAAAGACTTGTAAAGTAGGTTTTTATACTGACACAAGTGTGACAAAAGTCAACGGTAGCTGAGTGAAATATAAAACCCAAGTCCTCAGATAAACGATGAACGACCCCGGCTCCACAAAGAAAACAAAAATACTCCAAGTGGCTGCTGGGAAAGATTTTATAAAGCTATGTTTTTAAATGTTCTTCTGGTGGCTTTCTACTAAATTGTGACTTTAATACGGTTCACAGTGCAGCCACCGCATTTGAAAGTCTTGAGAAACTAGCGGTTTCCTCCGCAACGCAAGCACATTCCTAGCGCGAGCGGAGAAGGGACTGGAAGCGGGACAGCAGCGCCCGCTACCGCTCAGGGAATGAACTGCACCCACAGCTTCTATTGACCAGATGATGGAGCCAGATGCCAATTTTAATGAAGCTCTATAAAAAGACTGCTAGTTTATTATTGTTACTAAATACTATGCTGAGATGATCTTGGCAGCGTGGTTTCTGAGCACAGCTTTTTGTCTTTGGAACTAAAGCTATTAGATTAACAGCAATAACGGAACTACAGCTATTATATAGCCTAGCCTATAGTATATAATTCTCTTATGCTCACCAAGGCTGCATTTATTTGATCACAAATACAGTAATATTGGAAAATATTATTACAATTTAAAAGAAATGTTTTTCATTTTAATATATTTTAAAATGGCAAATAGTCTATATTATTAATGTCAAAACTGAATTTTCATACATTTTTACAAATAAGTCTTATATGCTGATTTGGTGCCCAAACATTTATTACAGTTAAGCGGTAGTGTGGCTTAACGTTTATTATTCTTCAATGAAAAGTTCAAAAGAATAGTATTAATTTAATATATATATATATATATATTTAGTAACAATGTAAGTCTAAATCATTTTCGATCAATTTAATGCTTCTTTGTTAAATAAAAGTTTTATTTAAAAAAAAAAAAGAATAAAAAATCTTACTAAGCCCAATACATTGAACAGTAGGCTATATAAATATATTTATTATCAAATAAATGAGCGCTACTGTTGTAACTTACCCATCTAGACCCCCCCCCCCCCCCCCCCATAATAATTCAGTAGCCACAAAACACTCAGTATAAAGTAAAAAGACCTTTATTACATTCTGGAATCCATGTGTGTAATTCTTATTGTACAATAGTAACTCTTAATGGGTTTGTTTTATTCTCTGTATCCATAATACACCATAAATTACACTCCTTAAAATCTATAATATGATTTATTTGCTTAAAAATAAAGTTACAACTGAAACAACCACAGAAGGACCATGGCAAAGAATTAGGACTCTTGTAGGGGATTTTCTGCTTAAAAATGCTCTTTAAAAAAATAGGATTTTAATTCTTCAAGACAAAGGCAAGGATGACACTACACGGGTGAAAAATGGTCCAGAAAAGGACAGAAATTAAGAAAGAAAATATCACAAACAAATAAAAAAACACAACACTAGATTTAAAGATTAAATTCATCCTTATATACTGTATATCTATATACCGTATAGTTTTGATCCTATTCATTTTTTTAAATAAGTCAAACTGAAAAAGTCCTCCAACAGCACTGATATAAGACAGGGGGAAAATTCTTTGATACTTCTGTGATTAACATTCACAAGAAAAGTTACCGTACACAGTGATCAAGGTTTAAGGTTTTCTATTTGGTGCAAGGTGTCTCGCTAGGCTAACTGAAGAAGACATTTTAGGACAGAGAACCCAGCTATCTCCCTGAGTGACTGAGTGTAGATGTAAACGCACACTTCCAGAACTACCCTCAAGGACAGGCCGGACACTTGTGGCAGTTTGTAGGGCTGCGAATTACACTCCAAAAATACATCTTCTAAAACTCTAAATGGTTTTTACAAAGTATTTGCACTTTGTTACAATCTTTCTCCACCTTCACACGTCAATTTAAGTTAAGCTAATTGAGTAAAAAAATAAAACGAAAAAGTGTAGACAGAACTTAGCAAGGGGGTGTTAAATGATCTGAGCTGGAGAGCTTATGGAATCCAAGGAGATCCTTGGCTTGTGAGGGCCGTCAATACTAAAAATGGAAAGACTGACTATTGCACAGGCAGACACTATGATACGGTGTTAAACACCCAGAAAATGTGTATTATACCAACCATATAAAATCTTACAAGAAAATATAGTTAGGCACTGGTCCAGCAGTGCAAAAATAAAACATCAGGCGAGCTTGTTAAGTTTATCTGTCAGGAAACTGGACGTTGATACTTATCAATCATTCAAAACATCTTTCATTCCCTGTAATATCACAAAGCTAGAACTGGGCACTGAAGGGTTTTGAAAAGCCCTCCTTTGGGCTTTAGTTTGTATTCCGGTTTCTGGGCCTCCGGTTTTATTTGATTTATTTTCCGGTTTTCTTCAATCCTCAGAAGAACGGAGGCTGCTTTCACACCGCGGACAGATAGTAGATCTTTCTCCTTTGGTTTGAACCGCAAAGTTTTGGAACATAAACTAACCAGTATTCCCTAACTCAGGGGGGTAGCTGATGGTTCAGTCAACCAATAGTTGTGCTTTAAGTGAACACAAAGGGTAAATGGATGATAGGGGAAAAAAATAATCACACAGCAACACAACACTGATCCCCACATCGGACACAATGCAAAGCATGAAGTATGGCCTGTGAATCCACTTATCCTCACAGCTGTAGAAACTGAATAGTCCAAGTTACAACATTTCTGTGGTGTCCTCATGACTGACGATGAGCTCAGGTTGTCCGTTGTCTCTAAAAATACAAGTTTCCTTCCATCCACTTCCTTCCGTGTTCTTTGCGTTCTTCTGAGGCCTTGCTCCCAGCAGCTGTTTGAGTGGTTTGCTGCGCTTCAGAAAGTCTCATAGTGGCATTGTCTTTTCACCATCTAATGTGGGGCGACAGCAAAGACCTGCTCTTGCAAAGTTCTTTTTTTGTGGAATATTTAAGTGCTGTCCATCTGCATCTAAATCTAAAGCTTTCAAAATCTGCATGTCATGCCAATTCCAACTCCAGCCCAGAATTAAACTCCTATGGTTGGGAAGTCTTTGAAAGGGCTTGAGAACATTCACTCTAAGGTGCAACTTTTTATTTCTGCCTACATACGCTATCTACAGGCTCGGTTTATAAATATATTCCCAAATACATCTATCGTTCTACATACATGTGGTTTTCAATCAAATGAGGATATCAAAATATCATCTAATATCTTTATCCAAGTGGCATTTGCATGGGAAAGGGTAATAAGGATGAGGTTTATGTTAGTTTAGTTGCATCTTTTAAATTTATAAGCAAAAATAAAGAGCTCAAATGACAACATACCATGTGCAGTGTGCTGTGCGTTAGTTGAGTCTGTTAAAGTGAAGCTGCTCATGTGGCGTTTACAACCTCAAGTGTGCATGCATTGGTCCCTTTAAACAGTTTCGAATGGATTCAAAACTGTTCGTCTACAGAAACCAAGCCTTAAAAACTTTTTACATATGGGGTAGAAATACATAATACATTCTTAATCCTGAGGCTTTGCCGCATGTCAGTTGGATTACATTCATAGTTCTCTTCCTAAGTGTACTCTGAAAATGGGAAGTATCCAGTATTCCAAGCACTTCGAGTACTCTTTTTAATTAAATATACATAATTTACTCTGTTCGAGTCACTATATGTAGGTAGCATGAGTAATAGTAACCAGCACCTTAAATGACTGCTGATATTTAACAGCATCTTATAAGAAATGTGGGTCCAGTTCAAATAGAGTGAATCACTCCATCAGGAGGGAGGTTATAGATGGAGTCCTAAAGTGTAACGTGCAAGATTGTCAGTGTGTTGCTGGTTTTTCTCAAACACATATCCATCTACCTCCTCCTATTTCCATTCCCTGTCTTTCTTTAACTGTCGCTTCCTCTCTCTGTCTCTCATCAGAGCCAATATGACACTTCAATAAATGTTAGCCTTCAGTGGAGTCTGGGAAGGAGATCTCGCTGCAGAAAACCTCTCTGTAGAGAGCAGGGAAGTTGTAGGCCGTTTCTGGGTGAAGCAGACGGAAAAACTCCAGCTTATCAATATGGAGGTTGTAAATTGACTTCATCATGGCCAACTTGGACACCATCTATTGAGTCAATAAAAAAAGAAAAAGCAGTTATAACATTTTCTTACATAACTAGACTAAAAAATATGTATAATATTATTTAACATGATTGATAAAATTATTAAATATTCCATATTCTAATGTAAATGTCCTTGTAGTGAAAAGTTAATGCTGTCACTTTTGATCAATTTCATGCATCCTTGTTGAATAAAATACTCCTTTCTTTTAACAACTTACTGACCCCAAACATTTGAACAGTAATTTGTAACAATTAAAAAATAATAAATAATGTGTTTCACCACACAAAGAATGCCAATGAATATTATTTATAAATAAAGAATTTGACACATTACATCTATTATTATGATATTGATATTAAAATGAAGCCTTCTCCATTATTCACTGACAAACAGGACATTTGCGTGGGTGAACTCTCACGGCTCAGATGAACTCAGGTTTGGATCAGTTTTTAGAATTCACACAAATCATAATAAAAACTGTTAAAATGTCATATTAAGTATGTGAACAGCATAAAAATCAGAATGGCATAAATATATTTATTAAATTGCATGCGTTTATTTTGACAGCCCTGATTTTCTCACATTTAACAGCTGTGAGAGTGTGAACTTGTTTTTCATTCATTCTTAAGATTTTTTCCCAGTACCTTTGCCAGTTTCTCCTCAGGGGCACCGCTTTTATGAAGACAGTGTTGCAACGCAACATAGACCTTCTCCTGAAGTTTCTGCACCTTCTGAGCATCTGTCAACCAAGGTCGGTCTGTGAAATAAATTAGTGGAAGAGTAAACTCTAATGTTTGGCTATATATCTTCTGGAAAGACTGTAAGAGTTAAAGATAACTTTAAACTAATGTTCTAGTAAAACCACCTGGAGACAGAAGCACAGTGGCGGTAAACAGAGCCATCTCTTCTTCAGACAGCTGTAGCCGACTCAGGATTTTAGCCATCTCAAACACAGCACCCACCAGATCATCACAACCTATAGACAGGAAAAACACAGGAAATGCATTTAAAAAATAATAGAGCAAAATTGACCAAGAGCTGTAAAACAACATTGTAATTTGCCCCATAAAACACGAAACGGTAAACCCAGCCAACTTTAGCAATCTTTCAATTGACCTGGAAATATTTTAATTGACCTATTTTCCATTTAAATTAATGTTTGTTTAGGTCTATATAAA